AGTCCCGTGCAACCTTAATTCGCAGATACACGTTTCCCAAACAATTTGTCCGTGATGATCTCAACCAACTCATTCAGCTGTACGTACAGAAAGGGTTCTCCAAAACAGACTGCCAACGCGTCCTGTACAGAAGGCAGTTCAAGCATACCTAACCTTTTGGCTGCGGCAAAATATTTACTAACACGCTGATGAGGTTGCAAAATTTTCCTCTGCGGTTTCTCACCAATCTATTGATGATGTCTTCCATTCTCGCCTTTAAAGAAATACCAACCCGGCTTCGTGCCTTTTTGTGTGTGTCAAGCTCTGTACCAAAGAGTTCCTCACTTTCTTGCGACTGATTCCAACCAACTAGTTTTCAACTGCTTTCCACCATAAATTTTGGATACCGTTGCATTTTAATTCATAGCAGGGGGCACAAGGACCTTTGGTGAGTCTTGTGCCAATGAAGACACTCACCTTAGGTTGTGAAAACGTACCTGCATGATGCACCTGGATGACATACCCAATATGTTGGGGTCATAGCTGGTGGTCATATTCGTATCTGTTAGTACTTTATGGGATCAGGCTAACCCAAGAACCTGCATGCCGTCATTCAGTCATTTCATGATCACGTTTGATTGAGTCGTATTGGTTTCTCTTTTAAACAACCTGACATTCAAATGTCAACGGATAAGCTTGGCCTTTTTAACTCGGTATGGCCGAGTGATGCCTTCAATCTACCATGAGGTAATCAGACTTTGCATTCATGAAAAGAGACCGTCTTTCATGACTTCGCAAGTGTGTATGTTGCGCCATGTTGCGCCTATGCGCAACTCACTCTTCATGTTGTGTTGGTTTTGAGGCCAGGTGACTACTCTCTGAATACCAGTAGATCCGCAAGCAAAGAACATCATAGAACATCATAGAACCGCATCCCCTCAAACTCCTTCAATATGTCTCAATATCGCAGAGGGGATAGGAACTTAATGGAATCTGTTTCAGCACCATACAGTGATTTGTGAAACCATGTGAAACCCGCTTTGTGCGCAGCTCTCGTACATCCCCATCATTGGCCCGTTGCTGTACTTTGTGCACTCTTGCTGGATGGCCTCCATTTACTGCTTCGAGTGAGCCTCACAGTTTGAGAGATCAGAAGAGCCAATTGTCATCAGTCATTATGTCAATATTTGTCATGGCTTGCTTCGCTGATTGTTCACAAAGAGCTGGCGCCAAGCTGATCTGAAAATTTTTAAAAAAATATAAATATTAATATAAAGCTGATTCCCGGATTTGTCAGCAGATTCCAGGTATGGATGGGTGCACCAGCGTTGGTCTGCGAATGCTCGGGTAGACTATTTTGAGGCGCCTGTCATGGATCGCAAAGACACCAATGCCAATCCTGTGCAATCATGCACACTACATGGCTACATTCCCATTCAGATACATGATGATACATTCACTTTATCATCCTACATTTGTGTACATTGTACATTACTTATATTACTTGACTTGTTTGAACCTTGTGCTTGGGGAAGCTGTGATGCTTCATGTCCTGTGTCAGTGTCATTGGCTGTACTTCTTCGGCTTCGGATTTCCCGTCTCCTTCGTCAGCTATTTCTGCCCTTGTCCAAGCTTCGAAACCGATGACTACAATACCAGGGATGGGTTCAAGATGGTTCAAGAGCTAAGATAACTATAGAACATCATAGAACATTGTAGAACCCTATAGATAGCTAAGGTCCTCGTTTCATAGACGCTGGTGTCTTTGCACTATTTTTCCCTGTGTTTGTGCTCACGGTACATCCGGCCTGTTTGCAAGTCCAGGTGAAATTTGAATGGAAAAAAAGGATTAAAAACATGAATAAACATGAAGAATAAATATAGAGTTGGTCGAAGACTGCAAAGGAGCCGATTCCATGCCAGGCAACGAGAGCAGAGCCGAAAGCTCTGCAGCCTCCATCCTAGCCCCAACAGGTTCATTAGGCATCATGTAAACGCACAATGTGGATGTTATATTATATATACACGTTATTTGTGGAATTACAATTAAGCTAGATTGGGTTCGATGGGAAAACTAGTGTCAACATCGTCCAGTCGTTATAAATCAAGTTCTGAATCAAGGCAATGTCCGAAACAGTTGCAGAGATTGCCACTCTTCATGGTCGTGCAGGACCGGGGCATGTCCTGAGTAAGTGATGGTACACCAGCACCTCACGCCATTTATCTACGAGTAAGTCGTGGTTTCATGATGTTTCATGGTTTGATATGGTGTAATCATTTTTGGAGTGTTCAACAGGCATCAACAGACCCTTCAAACTGCATTGAAGATGTTCAAAGTCTGAATCGTTTGGATCATAGATTATGAGAAATGATCTCAATTCAAATAATTACAGTAATTCGAACGTGTTTGAAGATTTTAGAGAGGACTGTTTATGTAAAGAGATTTCATTGAGACATATTGAGACTATGTGTTCTTGTCCTTTCACAAGACATGGCATTATTTTTGCTGCAGGGAGTCTCCTGCTTCTTGGTGAGAATATTTGAGGGTGCCACAGGCACGACCAGGGTTTCAACTGAGAAGGTAATATGAGTATATAATGCTACGTACAAGAGCTGAGACCCAGGATCCTATGCATTCGCACCTTTCTGATCCTTTCTAATCCTTAAATACCTTTCTACCATTTTTCTACCATTTGGAGAGTTGCCATTCATGAAACGGTTTATTCCGCTGCTCCATTGCTCTCTGGTCCTGCAAGTTTTTGTCATGAAGGTGTCTAGCGCTCTGACTCAAACTGGAAAGCTTGGCTCAATCTCAAAGTCATTTGAGCCATTGCAATTATTGCATAAGTGCGCCACAAGTCCGCCACGAGTCGCCAAAAGTTTGGAGTGGTCACTGCTCTTCAGAGCCAGACTCCTTTGTACAGACAGATTTCATTAGATTTCCAGCACATGCCTGGAGACATTCATCCAGTGTTGCCGGGTGTGACTCAAGCAGCAATGCAGTGTTTTATATAACTGCTTGATGGCATTACTTGGCGACTTGTGTGCCATTGCCAGTGGTAACGTGGTAACGATAGGAAAGGTGCGCTGCTTGATTTGAGCCAAGTGAGTCGCTGCTTTCCCCAATTGTCAAGATTTGTCAAATTGTCAGTTCAGCAACGTACATTGCGCTATTCCGGCTGTTCGGGTGACGCACTTTGCTCACAGATGCTCACAGCCTGATACCACGCTGATACCACGCTGATACCAAGCTGCGATTCAGCCTCCATAAGCTTGGCTCTAAGCTTGCACCGTGCACTTGCTCTCACTAACGTGAACATGAAAAGCATTGGAAAGCATATAGTGAAAGAAGCATTCCGTGACATAGAAAACAATGAGAAGCATCACTCCTCATATGCTAAGCACCGATCGTAGTCTTTTAGGAGCCCTCATCCCAGCACTCCTCCAACACCGCACTCTGTTACTCTTCGTTCATTTGTTTAGGTCTCCGGACGTCCCACGTACTGTATCTAAAGAGACCTACCGACAAATTGTTATTGTGATTGTGAGCCAACAAGCGTCCTTTGAACCATCATAAACCCACCAGCTCCAGTAGAGTTTCAATGGATCGTAATGGGGGTCGACAAGAGCACCGCCATCAAGGTTTGGCCCTCAAAGGTTTCAAACAGCCAATGATTTTCTGCGACCTTCCACAACCGTCTATGCATATGACCGAGGTAGAATGATCTGAAATGTTACAAAATGTAAGCATACCAAGATGCATTTTCGTTGGCTGCGTCGCTTCTTTTCACCCCCATTGTTGCTGAGCTTGTTTGGGGTCCCTGCTGCAGTCATGCTACAATATGCTACAGAGTGTAGCTGACACTGTGTCCCTTCAAAGGCAATCATCCTTACGGCCTCGAGAGCTGTGAACTGGTGCGCGGCAAGTCTTGACGCTTGAATTGTAGTCTTGTGAATTTCATTGAATTTCCATTCCGTGCATTGAACTGAAGATAAAGCCGAATCGTCATGTGAGACTTTTTCCTCTGTGCGGTTGCAGGTATGTGATTGGCAAGCAACTCATTCATGCAGACAGCGATTCGCAATCGCAAGGAGGGCCGAGCCAATTCCAAAATCCGCCCGCACCGAAGGTGCTGGGGCGTGATCTTCCGGATGGCACTCGTAAAAAGGTTACAGGTTTACCTGGGGGGGGGGGGCATTTTTCGTCCAAAACCTCCTGTTTTTGATAGGTCGTGACGCTCGCCTTCAAAAAACACTGTAAAAAACAGTACGGAAGACACCTGTTCGTGAACGCGCCCGTCCAAAATCGGCAAGCGAAAAGTGAAAAAACCCCGTGTTTTTCAACTTTTTGACCTCAATTTTTTGGTTTGCAACATCTTTTTTTGCGGTTCCGCAGGTGGCCGGGCCCGGAGGCGGATTTTTGAGTTTTTGGACCCGTTTTCGGACTGATTTTCGTCGTTTTGTGATAGCAGAAACACTGGTTTTTACAGTGTTTTTCTGTTTTCTGCATGCTTGACGGCTAGCTTCAAAACTTCCAAAAACCTCGTAAATTACGCTGTTTTATGTTACGGTGTGAATGAAAACATCGTAAATACCAGTGTTTTTTGACGTTGGTTAAAAAAACACTGTAAATTACAGTGTTTTTGGCCACCTGACCCTCGAAAACCATGGTATTTGCAGTGGTTTCTGCTTCTCACCGCGCAAAAACACTGTAAATAACAGCAATTTCGCCGTTTTTTCATGTTTTTCGTTATTTTTTGAACTGTGTTGGTCCGCTATACATGGCTATCAAATTCTTCGCGTTTTTTTTTCCGACAATCGGTACTTTCGGATGATTTTGGTCTCAATGGCCGACATCATTGGCAGTTACGAGCGGCTGCCCAACGATGCGGTGCGGGCGGTTGCCGTCGCGAAGCGACGTGAATATTCCTAACAAGTCTGAACTGCTCCCACTCCTCCACTCAGACATGAAATTGATTAAAATTGCAGGACAAAGTATCCTCAAGTTCCACTTTGTATGGATGCCGGCACTTGGCATGCTTTTGTCACACTTTCTGTGGCCAGGGCCTTTGAAAGTGCCACAGAATGGCACGGACATTTGCTGCCTGTGTTCCTTTGCTTGGCAACCACAATGTCAGCTAAAACACCAGAGAAAGCTTCCGTGAGCGCTTAGTTTTCTCTTCTTGCGGACGGAGAAAACCCGCTGAAATCTTAGTTGATCATGTTGATGGCCATGCGCGAGCAGTGGTCCTTTCACCGCCTCACATCCATCTACTTGACGCATGGATGAAGTTTTAAGGCCGCTCAAGATGTCCTCCGGTTATAGTTGCCCTCAGTCAGGTCCAAGCTCCAACCCACCCAACACAGAAAGTCTGCGACCTTTTTCATGTTGGATTCCGTTGGATTCCATTTCTCCATATTTCTCCGGCACTGCAGATTGGTGCACTGCTTGAACTATCACCTTACCCTTTGTGCAGGGCCAAGAGCAACCTGAACAGCAGATTGTATTGACTGTGGAAAGGAAGGAAATGGAAGGAAATTGAAGGGTTGAGGTGCCGGATTTGTATCATGGGCAGCCAATGCGAGCGGCGCTACCTACCTGTTTGCTTCTGTCAACCAGACAAGATGCGCTGGAAAGCCGAACAGGTGCCCAACATGTCCAAAGAAGCCTCAGCAAGCTGCGATAGCAGTGGAACTGGCTGAGCGGTCTGAGGTGCACTGTGTGCAGTGCTGTGTTGGAAGATTTGGAAGATCTTGTACAATCTTTTGCCGCGCACTGTATTAAACATTATTAAACACCATTCATCAAGTCCTTTTTGTGATCGGCATTCCAAATCTGCACAAGCAATGCAAAATGTCAGCTTGCCTCCGCTAGGTATCACTGGTTCAAATAGCCAAAATCAGCCCTCTGCAATGAAGGGACCCGTTGATCGACTCACAAACATGTCATAACATGTCGATTCCATGCAGTTCCATTTCATCGGCAAACAATGCTGCTTGAGACAATGAGTTCGGAATCACAAGACAAAGCAACATCTGCATCAAAAACAACGACAAAGTACTTGCTGCATGTCTGTACCAGCGACCTACCAATGTACTGATCATCGTCAGCTCACTCTGGGTATGGGGCTTGTGCCAAGCTCAGAGCTTGCAGGGTTTGTGCCAAGTCTGGAGCTTGCAGACATTTCCAGACCTCCAGTTCCTGAATTGCCTCAGAGAGCCTGAGAGACAACGTGCGCAGGGATGTGAGATGCCCATGAACAAACAAAGACAGAGACGGAGGTTTTTGAGAGAGAATGAGGGAGAGATAGAGACAGCATATGGAATGCCTTCAGCCCATTCCGATCTCAAAAATCTTCACACTGACAGAATAGAATGAAGAGACATCAAGATATGTCAAGACACTTCGGACATGTTTGAGCTTTGCAGTGCGGTTGCCAAGGCGCGTCCTGCCACTGCTTCGACAGACGTTGTTGTGCTCTCGCTTTTGCCTCAAGCTGATTATGAGCTACATTGAGCTACTGTATTTGCCTGATTTTGCCTTATCTTTTGTCACCACTTAGTCACCTAAGCTGCATATTGCTCAGGATTAGGATCTGCTTCATTTTGCTCATATTTGCTCATCTTGCCGCAGTTTTTAGCACCAAGAGTCAACCAAGAGGGTCTGGGGAAAGATTGACTCACAGGCGAGATGAGTGTGGAGGAATTTGGATAATTTGGTACGTGTAATGGATGTGTTATGGACATCTATGGACTTGTTGTATCTTGTTGTATTTTCTTGTGCGATTTGGTGAACCATGGTGAACCTTGAAGCAAGATGAAGCAAGTGGGCCAGGCCGTGAAATCATGTTTGGTGGGGGTGCTCATCCTCCCAACTCAATCGAGCGGTTGATTAAGGAGCCGGATGGAGCAGCAGGATTTGTTCACTGATTCGGTTGATGCGATTTAAAATATTTAAAATCCTGCGAGATCTTCATGTTTGTCTCCTAAAGTCCTAGACATTACTAAACCACAAGCCATTGCTTTGGTATCCACTGACCAGGAGGTGAGAAGTATGGATGTGTCTTAGTGGCAGCCAGCCGGTTGGACGATGTTAGACTACATGCTGAATTTGAGTTCAACCATGGCTCTTCAGAATGCTCTTCACTGGCTTTTCAAATAACCATCATGTCTAATTGATGAATCAAGGTCGAAGGTGTTGAAAAGTGCATTGAAGCCGGCGTTCGAGTCAACGACCCGATTAACCCCACAGGCCAGGCCAGCTGTGGAAAGTGCAGACCAAGTTTAAAAAAATATATCCATGCGATGAAGTCGACAGGCCAAACTGTCCTGGATCTATATGCCCGACCCTTAGTCTGCAAAGGCTTGAAGCTTTCACCAAATCTGAGGCATCTGAGGCAAGCCGGCAAACAAGACCAAACACACTGCGACAGGACATTTGCGACATCGCTCACATCCAAACCACTTTCCTTCTATCTCATGCCTCCTTTTGAGAGGTAGTGCTTGACTGTGTCCCACTTTTGTCCCTGTCTTGCATTGTACCTTTTGGATGTTCACAAGATAGCCTTCAAAATGTGAGACAGGACATTGCCCCAAATGGACCACCTTTTCCCATTCAGATTGAAGTGTCGATCAAGCGACTCTCTTTTGATAATTGTTGTTTTCCATTGACAGAAACAACTCTTTTGTTTTTGAGTGCGACTTGCCACAAGAATGGAGAATGCAGCTTAACCTTCAACGTTCCATTTCAACCTACTTCACATATATTTGGAAAATGCATTACATATTGGTGTGTTCTTTTAAGTTTCTGCGATACCATGTAGACCAACACGGTCGTTGTCAACGGAGAAAAACTCCAAAGCGCAAAATCTGTGATATGCTTCTCACATCTCTTACAGTCAGTTTGAGTACTATTAAACATTTGCAAGTACAAAAAGTACAAAGGCTCCACATGGAAGAGGCACACGGACTTGAAAGGTAAGAAGGTCTGTTTCAGTCCACACAATGGAAACTGGAAACATATTTGCGTTTGGAGCTTGGACTGGATTTGGCATGAGGCAAAGACTCACGTCGCAACACAAAAGCATGCTACTGTACTTTGCATTCGAAAACAAGCAGAGCAGACACCCCGACCCCATACACGCGCGGAAAGCGGTTTGCCTTGAGTTTTTGGGCCTTATGGGAAGTGTTTTGCATCGTTGTGTGGAACCGAAGATGTCCTCCACTAGGTGATTGAGCATGCAGCGATGATCGAGCATGCGCTGCAAGTCACAGGCAGGGTTGCTCCGTGAGACTGTCAACATCCTATGAATTTGAAGACTGTGCCACAAATGGATGAAGGAGCAACTTTAAAGCGGTTGGAACAAAGCTATCACAGCTATCGTATGCTATAGTCATCTATAGTTTAATTAGTCTATAGTTGGATAGGTACGCCGAAAGAAGCGACGCTTCACTTTGAGCACTTGGAAGAAGCTGCCTTCAAGGTTACTTTGGAACAGAAATTGTGGGACAGCAAATATTGTTTTTTTTGAATTGATGGCCGTCTCAGCGATGAAGTGTTATCACAAGCCGATGATGGGCGAATGTGTTTTTGGCTGTGTAACCACCATCATTCCAAACTGTGTTGGTCCATGTGATTTGGAAAGCAGATAAGAATCTGAGGTGATGAAAACTCTCGTTGATGCCGGCGCCGTGTTGTCCGGATCATCATCGATGATGAAACGTGGCTTTAAGCAGGATGGAACTTAAAGGGGCTCGCAAGACGCGCAGCTCAATTAACACTGCACGTGGCTGGCCCAATCTGGCATTTTGATGAAAACTTCCAAAGTGTACCAAAAGTATCCAAAAGTTTTTGGAGGGAGGGATTTTTTCTTGGCAGTTGGAGTAGGAAATTCATGGAGACCGTGCCCTCCTCACTCAGTCAGAGAAGCGTTTGCAGAGACAGTGAGAACATGTGATAACTTGATAACATGTGATAACTGATAACTTGATAACATCCATTTTGTTGCCATATGAAATATGTTCAACAGCAAAGTGCCAGCCAGCGTCCAAGTTTCACAGCTGCGTTGCGATTGCTAGCTCGCACAACCAGCGACAGATTTCAGTTCAAGAAAAGCCCTTGGGCTTGAAGCAGCTGAAATAAGAGACAAGTTCTGCAATGCTAATCTTGATGATTTATCTCCGGTTGATCTTGATGATTACCATTTACTAACTTGCACCACACGACGACGCCAATAGATGCGAATATGGCAAACAAATATTAAATGTGTAATATGGATTTAATATGGATCAATATGGTGTAATTATTTGGATGCATGTCGTCCGCAAAGAAGACGCAGGTTAGATTTCCTGGATCCCAGGTCGTTGCCCTCAACCATGTTAAAAGAGGAAGATGCAGACAAGGCGAGGTCCACCGCTTTAGGCAAGTGATTGTTATTTACATTATTTACAATGTAGCCATTTGATGCCATTTGTCTGTTTATGTGTGCTGTGTCGATTTGAAACCGCCTGTATGGCCTAGTCAGCCTTTGAATCCTTTGATTCTGACTCCGAGGAGACATGTGTAGAGGAGGCGGGCCAAAATGTTCAAGCCATGCAGACCCTTTCTCATGACTTGGAGAGCTTCCCAGACCTTGCCAAAAGATCACCATAGATATCCATGGATCACATCATGCGCAGGAGAACAAGAGCTCAGGCAAAGGCATTGAAAAGTTCAGCAGATGCAAGCTGCCTAATTTACTGCTTGCTGGAGGTCGTTGCAGAAGGGTAAACCGACTGCATCCGAATGCTAATCAGAGCGTGCCAATTTGGGGATTTTGCGAGGCAAGAGAGAGACAAGACGGGCACGGTTACTGAGGTCAATCTGACCCAGCGTTCGAAGATGCTTTTGATACTGCGAATTCACGGAGGCGCCTGCAAATTGATTCATTTGATTGAATCTTTCGATACCTTTCGATACATAGTATCCATTCCTTCTGAAAGCAGTTTGCCAAGCTTGCCGATGTGCCCAATATTCTTTCAAGGTAGGAAGCTGCTTTGTGTCAGGACCCCGTCACTTCCTCGATTACCAAAGGATGAGCCAACACATTTTACAAGGCGTGCAGACCGTACAGTAGCTATTTGACATAGAGGATGCATGGAAGTGTGGAGGTTTGAACTGGGGGTTGATGTCGGGTAGGTGTGGGAGTACGTCTGGGCATGAGTTAAAATATCTTGCGCATGAGAAGGGATGGTGATGAAACCATGCAGCGAAGGAAATTTAATCTTGAACATATTCGAACATGTTTGCAGTTTCCTTTGCAAGAGAAGACTCATTTCTTGGTGCATGTTCGCACAACATTGCCATAGCCATAGCCTACGAGTTTTTGTTTGCAAAAGAGGTTCGTGACCTTTCAACATGTTTGTTTCGTTTGCGATCAGCCCCCACATACAGATTCATGTGTAGGTCACATATGCAAGTGTAAGGTTATGTAAGCACGGAACATGGTATGCATGAGGAAAGATAGCAGAGCCATGCAGAGCTTCAGTGCAGAGAATCAGACCTCCATCCTCACGTGTCCAGCGACACATCTGAAGGATCAGCTTCTTTGAGCCAGCACGACACCCATTCACCAAAGCCAACACCCGCCTCGTGTCTGTATTCACATTTCAAATCTGTTCGGCGCAACAGTTCACATAAGCTGTGAGAGGCAAATTACTGCTCCGGCAGTAATGCAAGTCGCAGACTACTACCTGCGCTCAGACTCTCGGCCGAGATACTTGTACAATCTTGTACACTAGACTTTGGAATTGGCCGGATTTGCCACTTGACTAGCGCTCCGATATGCTCCGATATTATAGCAGAACAAACATCATGTCACTGTCCAGCTTTCAACACTCCGAAGCATCCGGAAGCCTTGTTTCTTTTTTCCTCCCGTGAATGCGCCTGGCGCACTCTGCGATATGCTGAGGAAATGATGACAGTCAATGCCCCAAGATGCATCAGTTTTGCTAACAATATTTATATATATATACTGTTTTTATCTCGCACTCAACAAGAGTGGCTGGTATGAGCAAAGTAGTATTCCAGTTTTTACATTGTTATTACTGTACATGATATTACATAATACTCGTATTGCAAAAGCTTGTGAATCGCAAATTGTTCCTTCACACAGTTTATTGTTTCCTTCGGACGACTTGTGACGGCAGCTGGCTTAGGTCCTTTACGAGGGTTCCAACACTTTAATTACCAACAGCAAGGCAGGTGGATAGAGCATATAGAGCATCACACAGCTTCAACTTGGAGTATGACAATTCAATGCTTATTTATATACTCATATTTATCTCATTTATCTCATAGTTACATCATTTTACAATATTTTACATATATTTACTCTATTTCATCAAATTTAGTGTCTAGTTAGTCTAGTTTAATGTGATTCATGGAGGACATGTTTTCAGCAGCCCTGCCATGGCACAGGTGCGGAGATCAAGCGCATTCCGGGAGCCTTGTTTTGATGGTGTAGGACTGTGATGACGACATCGCTGTCCTGGTTGATTTCGGGTGAATGTCAGGTCAATATCCTTGGTTTTGCCGTTTTGCCGTTTTGCCGGTGCTTTCACCAATTCGTTCTGGTTGTTGCTGCGTTTATTGCTGTTTTTTGTTTAAGCCGTAGTGTTTTACAAAAAAATATAGGCTTGGTTGGACGTTTCAAGAAAATGTTCCATAAGAATTGGACAATTAGGCAACACAATTTATACTACTTTTCAGCATCAAGGAATGTACTGGTACACAGTGCTGGACTGGTTCATAGCACACTTGACATGACTAGAGAAGCGACATGCTGCCCAAGTTGATCCCAATGTTTCGTGCACAGACTGTGCAGAGTGCGGGATTACGATTTCAGAGTGCAGCGTGAATCCAATGTTTCAGTGTGTTTAACCAGAGACATCACTGTCTCATACAAATGAAGTGTTGCTCCTCCAAAGTACATGCAAATGACCACTTCGCTGGCCATCTATGTGGACATCTTGGGGAGATAGCAGGAGATGACCTCTCTCCAAAAAGTATAGCTCGAATCCCAGAATTCTGGAGTCTTTGGGCATGAGCCGCTGTGCTATGCGGCATCTGCCTGACCAAGCTGAAGCAGCTGCATCTCCTTTTGACATTGAGGAAGTGGACGTTGCGGTCAAGTGATTCACTCGGATTCCTCAAGTCAAAAATCAAGCTGGACCCAGTTTGGTTGTGCAGTTTGTTTCGACATGATATTGGTCTTAATTAAGTTTGAAGCCAAGATCTTCACTGAAGGTCGGTGGCGCTCAATGAAGATGACTGCGATCTTGCCAGAGACTTTGCAGGGAGTTGCTGTCTCTTGTCGCTTCTTCCAGTGGGCGGACAAGTTGATTTTTGATTCTCAGCACTTGAGAGAAGCAGAGAGGGGCAGAGAGACTTCACTCTCCAATCCCAGGCCATGATGAGACGTGAGTGCGAGATCTTGAACCGATTAGGACTGGTTAAATGTCTGTAAATTTGTCAAAAATGATTGAAAATCCGAAAGGATAGCACAGGATGTTGTTGACAGCAGCGTGTGTGCAGAAGTGCACTTAGTCACTAAGCAGGCTCGCAACCGGCTTGCAGGACATAGCCATCCACACATCATGCCTGCACTTGGCTTTGCGGAATGCGAATCAGTCCGGCACCAAGCTGCTGTTGTGTGCCCATGATTTTGTTTTTCAAGAATATGCAAGAATGCTAAGAATGAGTGTTGATATGTGTTGATTAAGAATTAAGACTCACACGGAATGTTTGAGCCTGGCAGGAGATGGTTTTGCTCATGCGCTTTGCCAATGAAGGCGACCTGAATTCGTTGGCTCCCAGCGGGTCTTCCACTCAGTAAAGGTTGCAACATGTTGCAACAGGCTTCCTGTAGAAACTGTGCCTCTGAAATCCTCTGAAATCGTCCGGTTGAAGAACTGCCCAAGTTTCAATCAAGTTTGATGACTATGCCGCATTACTTTATTTTTGTTCGCTTTTGGGTGTGTGCTTTTCCGGACTCGCTCTTTCCTTGTGCACCGTGTTCATCTGAGTACTGAGTGCTCAGGGCCTGCTGTGAGGAAATTCAGGCATGGCGCCGGGCATAACCACAGCATCGACCATGAACATGAAGATGACTTGGAGATCCTGTGAGGTTTATTCTGGTCACAGGTACCTTGTTATTCCCCAGATTTCCCCAGACCTGACACAGGCGAAGAGGCTTGGTCATCAAATGATGTCGGCTCTAGCGTTCCTGGAGGAGAACGCGTGACGCACTGTGCTGACCGTGTCTCGATTCGATAGCTAATTGAAGTAAAACAGACAATGCCAATTAATGCAGTAAGAGTCACAACAGGATTTGTGGTGCAGGAACATATCAGTTGGATATCAACTTGTTCTGCACGGCTGGTATGTGCCAAACTTGAGTTTGCGGGGAAGTTGCTATGCTTTCTCCCTTTTATTTGTGTCATTGAACCTGCATTTGTGAAGTAAATTAAGCCACCGCAAAAACTCCGGCAATAGGAAACATGTAAGGGACGGACAGTGGTTTTCAGAAATTGTGCAAACATGATGTACTGCAAGCAATGGGACCTTCCCAAATAATCCCAAATAGCAATACCCCCTGTGAAGGTCATACCATGTCATACCTGTGCACATACACCATGTAATAATTATACGTATTATATATGTATACGTATATATACGTATATAAACATTAATATAATTGAATTATACTAAATTGGGGGGTATCAGTATCGCTTGAAGGAACATGGTGTATGTGCACAGGTATGACATGGTATGACCTTCACAGGGGATATTGCTATTTGGGAAGGTCCATTTAAATTATATATATATCATTATATATCTACATAATTATACATATATATACATATATATGTGTGTGTGTATAATTATACATATATATATATATATGTGTGTGTGCATAATTATACATATATATATACATACATATATATACATACATATAGATATATGTGTGTATTGGTAAGCGATGGAACCTTCCCAAATTCGTTGATGTATGTTGATGTCCTATTGCTGAATTGAGTCTTTGCTGACAAAATTACATTGCCATGGAACATGATTTATCAATTGCACCCCTCCTGCGAACATTACATCACATTACGTTATCATATATTCCACTCCCTCACAATCTAAAACAGTACATTGCAATCCTTCCCAAAGCACCAACACCTGGACCTAGGGAGCTAGGAAAGCTGCTCTTTCCTTTTTCCCTTGACCTACCTCCACAAATCCAGACACTGAAGTATGCAGGCATGGAAACATATTGTTGGATATCTTCTGTAGTCGATATGACATACATAAATTGTGTGCAAATATGTATTAGTATATCTATACATTATTATATTTATTATATATGTACAGGTAGATATTGTTAGATATAGTCAATTTTCAAAACGAGGCTGGGGTTTGGGCTGTGTAGAGCTGTTCCTACAGATATACTGGGTCAAAGTATAACGGTATTCAGTATGTGCAGCAAGAGTGAGACGTCAGACTTGCAAAGTGTTGATTGATTGATGGAAAAATGTGGGAAAGCCAAGAAGCATTGGCAAACACTTGGCCTCATGATGCGGAAAGGGCTTTCTGCAGGGCACTTGTTTCATGTTAGATCATGTGAGCCATTCCCTCAACTTGCAGGAGCATCGAATTGTCAGAGTCTCAGATGGTTTCAGTCTATCTACTGACATGTGTATCACGTGTGGGGGTTGAGCGTTTCAGAAGGAGTGATTGCTGTATAATGCTGTATACAATTGCCTGTCCTTCACTCTCTGCAGAATCCCGCTAAGATTCATGGTGATGTGAAGCCACAGAATGTGCTGCTCACACTTGCTGAGGAGCGAATGCCTTTGCCGTTGTAATAGTTCATTTCTGGAATTGCATCGAGATGCCGTGAGAATTCTGCATGATCTCAGGCTGATTTTGATGCAATGCAACTGATTTTGACTTGCAGGGACGTTTGCTTGCCCAGCTCACTGACTTCGGACTTGCTCAAGAGCTGCCAGAAGGGCAGACCTTCATCAAGTTGATTGCTGAGATGGTGTTGAGTGAAAGAGAGCGAGAGAGGGTAGCAAAGCCCATGCACAGCCCCCTAGCAATGTATTGTTTGCAGAAGTCACGCTGCAAAACAGGACATCCTGGCCAAATCCTGAAAGTTGTCAAGTTAAGTTTCAGTGTTTCCAAGGCTGAACGAAGTGCCCGGATCCTATGGCTACATTGCCTCCGAGGCAGGATTGCACACGGTTCGCTGGAACTATGTACAATACATTCCTGTAAACAGCAACGCGATCGTTGGGCAGCGATGGGCTTCATTCAACCCGGTCAGTCCATGCAATGTTCTTCGTTACTCTTCGATGTACTTCGTCAAACGCGGCTGTTGAATCTAAACTTGATGGCACTGGCCTCATGTTGCAGGTAAAGCACCGGAAGCAGATAAGCTTCGCTGCGGACCTGTGCCTACCCAAGCGTGCAAATCACAAGGTCAAATTCGTGGTTGATCGAGTGTGCAGGTGTTTGGCCTTTGTTTCCTTTTAACTTGATGGATTCGAACACCGTAACAGATTCGGAACATTTTGGAGACAGCATGCACGGTATTGCATTGCCTGTTCCGCTCAGTTCGTTTGTTCGCATCTCCAAAGTGTCCTTCCAAGGTTTGCCCTCGGCGTGATCCTTTTCCGCTTGCTGGGAAGCTACTTGCCGGGCCAAGTGTAGAAGGGTGTGTGTGGGAGGGGGCGACTCATTGAAAATGCCAGTGACCACTTGTTGATTTTGAAGCTGAAATCTGAAGCGCACTACCGTAGATGGACGATGAAATCAAACCCTTCCTGTATTGTTGTCGCCCTCGCATCCCCTAATTCCCAACAGCGAATCTGTTGGGTTTCAATCTCTGGGGCCGGGGACTGGTGACATGAAACTGCACGCCCCGAAAAACCGTCTTTAGGCTGCGCGCTTGGATGCTGTGGACAAGAAAGTCAAACCCAGAACGCAGAGAAAGCTATATAATAGAGATTAATAGAGTATATAGAGTTTTGTTCAACATTGAAATTTGGGGTGTGGTGTTTTACTTAGTAGATGTCTGTAGTCTGTAGGGTTTGATTTTTTTGTCCATCTACTGTCTGTAGTTCTTCGCCAGCACATGTCTGGCCCAAGCACAACTAAGGCTACGATCCTTTCCATCCAGCAGCAAGCTCAGCATGCAAGCACAGGACTTCATGACATGTTACTGCATTGCAAAGGAAGATCCAAAACTGAATTGTATCAACAGATGTATACTGTACTCATACTGTACTCGTACTCGTACCTATCTATCTGGCTAGCTATCTAGCTATCTAGCGATCTAGCCACCCATCCATCCATCTATCTATCTACCATTATCTACCTATCTACCTATAAGCATATTCATAGGATACATGTCATGTACATGTTGTTCAGTCAAATTGAATATGTCTAATGCATCTATGCCTGTGTTGCACGGTCGGTACACTCCGTTCGGACTCCGTTCGGACTCCGTTCGGACCGTGGAACGTGAAGGAAACTTCGGTCCGAGGCCTCGGACGTGGACTCTGAGCTGATCTTCGATGAAGAGTGCTGGGAACCTTTGTCCCAGCTTTCTCAGGCCGCGCCCGCAGTTCTGGATGTTCTGGTCATGGTCATAGAATGTCATAGAGTCATAGACTGGCTTTGTGAATCTTTGTGATGTGTAACAGCACTACGATTTCTAAACGGTCAGAAATTGCCTGGAACATCGTTGAACTCCCAGGAAGTCTTACTGTATAGCAGCTCTTCAGCCACTGCGTTGTCTTTGCTTTCGCTTGTCTTCTAACAACTTTGCCGTATGTTGTGGATGCGACGTGGCTGAGGATTTTGTCACCCGCCTGTTGAACCCAAATCCAGCTCTGCGTGGCCTAGCCACACAGATGGTCAAAGGCACAGCTCAGCTGAAAGATTGCAAAATTCACTGCATCGATTCTGCGTCTATTGGCATCTCCTTGCTCAGCTGGTTCTATTTCATGAACAGGATCTGCAAACCTGCACAGGTGACATGTGGTTGTGTGCGGATGAGAGCCAGTTAGTCAGTGACTGAGATGTACTGTACTGATCTGTACTGTATCATCTAATTATACTCTAGACTCTATACTGAGCAATGCTGAAAGCTGACCGAGCAGACTGAGCAGAGAAAGAGGTTCTTTGGGCACCAGCAATTGCACCTCGCAGGTTGGCAAGCCACGCACAGGCTTCGCCCCCACACCAGTAAAGAAGCTCGGCTCCAAAATCATGAAAGTGATTGTCTAACAACTATGACCATCAAATGCATCAGCTCTATTCAGCCCTGCTCACAGAGCCTGTGTGGCAGAACAGAAAGCAACTCCCATTTAGCCTCGTGACAGCAAAAAGCCTAAGTTTGACATTTGACCATCATGCCATTCACCGCGGCCACTTCAGGAATGTGGACTTCCACACCCTTGAGGTGGGGTTTTCAATTGACGGCACAAGCGCTAGAGTCCTTCTTCATGGCTGGCAGGGCGTCAGCAAACTTTGACCCTGATTTGCCATGAGGATTCCCGAAGTGTGTGGAAAGTTCTTCAACCAGTCAGGCCAAAAATGTCAGTGGTGCAAGGAAGTACTAAACCAATCTAAAGCAGATTGCATCCAATCAAAATGTGTGATGTTTAGCCCTACTGTAAACCTGCAGTGAATTCAATCTACAGGATTGTATAAGTTGTTTGTGTGTGTGTGAGCCGCTGCGACTGCCAGGTAAAAAAAAAGTGAGTTGACGGAACTTTTCTTTCAGGTTTATTTAAGATGTAAATAGCCAAAGGGTGTGACACTGCACCTCGTCAATGCGTCGTTTGAAACGAGCAGATCCAGATCCTGACCAAAACATTTCCAAGCCGAGAGAACCGAATCACACTAGCTTCCAAATCTCACAGAAAGGAAGTACTGAAATGTATATACACTATATACGTATGGATAGTTGTGACATGTTCCGAATGGATACTGCATGTTCTAGCTTACCTAGCTTGTTTGGTGGCCAGGGCTCTTGGCTTAGCTCCGCAAAGAATGGAGGTGCTTTAGCACGATCCAAGCACAACGTGTCCATAGAACAGCTGCTGACGATTTTCAAAAGTCGGGCTGATGTATGAAATGTTGTGCGGCTCTACTTCCAAAATTTCAGAGTCCAGCAAGGAAGGGACCTCTCTCTATGAGGTGGTCTGTGTAGGCCTTTTCCTCTTTCGGCCGCCAGTGAGCAGGATACAGATCCTGTGCACGGGAGCTGGGCGTGTTCCCAATGTCCCACAAATAGTTCTTGCATCGCTGTAGTTCTTCTTCTTATCATTCCTAAGGAGGGTCCTGAAGTGAAAATGAAAATATGATTAATTACACGTCAGGACAGGGATTGACCATGGGGTCTCCCTTTGTTTTTTGCTCGTTTGTGATGCTTGTATTGTATGCAATTCTTCCTGGGGCTGAAGCTATCACTATGGCCCACTCTGTTTTTTTTCCCGATTTGGGATGTTTTGGGATGTTGGATGAAACAACGTGGCTCTTCGTCAAATTTGTTTGTCTCCGGAGCCAGTCCTCGAGCCCTCGGTAGCTGCTGAAGAGCCTAGGCCTCTTTATGCGCTGGAGGGCTGCGAGGGTTGCGCCCAGTCCGGCTCATCATTTGTACATTCCGCAATCTCACTGCCCTGGCAAGAAAACGAGGGCAGAATCGGGCAGAATTGCTGTTTTGTGAGTTACGTATGATTCAGTCACCTTGAACTAGACTGGGTGCTTGAGTTTATAGGCCTCGGAAGGGAAGAACCGTGTTGTTGATTTCAGCTCTTCGATGCTACTCTTTAGAAACTGCAGTATTGTCTTGTCGCCTTTTGCTGGTGTCAGACCTTTGTTACTTTTAATCCACTGTTTGTCATCATTCATCCTTCTGTGTCAGGCCAACAGCTTTATTTCCAGCTTCAGTTTTCCACCATCCACGAGCGTGTTTCGGCCTCGATGTCAAGCATACCAACGTGTAGTAGGTCGAGCAAAGGTTTAAACACTGTCTGTCAAGAGGCTTGCAACTAGGAGCGTGGCCACAGGTCATATGCGCTGGATCCCGCTTCTGTACTATCAGACCCAGAGGACATTAATGGGTGCAAGGAATGTTGAAACAGTGCCTGGCTGCAATCGCATGAAGGACTTAAACAAGCCTGCGCCCTGGTGACATTGCTTGTGAATGCTGATAGTAGGCTGAATGTATCATATCTGATAATTACATTGCTGTCTCGATTCGTAGGGCACTGTAGTTCCTTCGCCATGGGCAAGGCTTCGTGCAAGAGTACTCCGAAAAATCTGCGTTGCGGCAGTCCGAAGGCTCAAATGATGCTCAAATATGCTCAAATGACGCTCTATGATGATTATGATTCACAGAGCGCAGGACCGTACTGACCGTACAGAGTTTGTTGAAGACTCTCAAAGAAATCTCGAAGATGTTGAAGACGTAAGCCGTAAGCAGTGCTGTGCTACGAGCCATGCTCAGGTGCCCGAGTCTGTCTGCTTCATCGTTGCTTGCCGAATGTTCAATGTTTTGCTAACTATCCATGCATGTCAATATGATGACTAATTATGATTATTTGTTGTTTTGCCTACTGCTACGTGCAGACACGGGCAGACCAGACAAAATATGAGTAACCGACATAAATTAGCGGAAGACTAAAGTAGTAGGGAATGGACTTGGGATGTGCAAATTTGTGTGAAAACGTTCACAACCCATAGAGGACCACCCACTTTGGCCATGTCCATTGCGAGTAGTAAGTATATAACTTTATTCGCCCTTCATATGGTGGCCAGCTGCCAATATTCACTGGGATAATAGATTGATCAACAGAGAGTGACGTTTTCGTGCTGACTCCTGACTGCTGACTGCTGATTCTTGTGATAGCCCCAAAGGACCTCTTTATCCGAGGTTCTTGCGCTTGACAGATTGCTTGGACCCCAGATGCTTGTCATATTACACGCTTTCCTTGCAATGGCGCTGTTTCCTCAGGTTGGCTGAAGCGCATCATACTCACGGATTTTGGCACCCCGTGGTTCCGGCATTGATTAAGAGATGATACCCAATGATTCCCAATGATATCCAATGATTCTATGAAGCCTTGCGAGTGTTCTCTGAATCAGACAGACCCGCAAGGCTTGGAAATTGTGACAGATCTGACAGGTGAATCCATTGATAGCTGTTGCCATCAGTGGGACCCTGGCGACGGCGCTGTCCTCGTTGAAATTTGAACAATTTTGAAAATGTGTAGCACCATGTAGCTGTGGAAAGCTGACTCTTTTCTGGCACCAAGTATCTCGTCGCGTGGGGCTTTACAGACATCATCATTTCGATGTGGGTCAAAACAGACTTCGTTCAGGACAGGGAGGTGTTTGAAGTTTGCTGCATCAAGTTGAAAGATCATGAAAGATCTGCAGAGATTCATATTTACTAATAGATACAGTATCCAGAAATATCAAGCAAAGGCAATTTGATCATACTGTTACACCTGAAAGGACAATGCAAGATTGGTTACATTTTTCTACCTTGTCGAGATATGCAGCTGGCATTGGTCTCAGCTTACTCGACAGGCTCTTTCTAGTAACGGCAGCAATGGATTGACATGGGATTTTTTGGGAAGATTTTAGAAGTCATATGAAGCCTTATGAATCCATTCAAAGCGCTGACTTCCTACAAGTCACGGAGTGTGGCCTAGTGATGTTGGCCTTAGCTTCGATCCATTTTGATCCAAGGTGGCCCTTTCTGTTCGAAATCGCTGAAGGTGGCAATATCCTCAAAATGGTAAAGACCTTAGATTTTAGAGAATTTTAGGATATTTTAGGGAAATTTAAGAAATTTTAAGGAATTTAGGGAAATTTAGAATTTAACGGAATTTTAACGAATTTTAGACAAATTTACTGTAAGGAATTTTAGGGAATTTTAAAGAATTTTAGGGATTTTTTATAGTTTTAAGGAATTTTAAAGAATTTTCGGGAATTTTGCAGAATTTTAGAGAATTTGAGCGAATTTTAATTTTAGGGAATTTTGCGGAATTTTAGCGAATTTTCAGGAATTTTTAGTGAGTTTTACGAATTTTAGGGATTTTTAGAGAATTTTGGATTTTTTATGGGTTTTTAGGGTATTTCAAGATTTTGAGGAATTTGAAGGAATTTTAGGATTTTTACGGAAATTAAGAGAATTTGATGGATTTTAGAATTTTTAAGGAATTTTAGTGAGTTTTATCTTTTTTTAGATATGTTTAGCGATTTTTAGTGAATTTTAGCGAATTTTAGTGAATTTTATGGAATTTTAAGATTTTAGGGACCTCGAAAGAATTGGAAGGATTTTTAGAGAACTTTAAGGATGTTTATGGAATTTTAGACAGTGATCAGACTGTGATCATACTAAATCTTAGACGGTCTTATATGATCTTAGACGATCTTAGACAATTTTAGATGATCTTAGACGATCTTAGATGATCTTAGACGATCTTAGATGATCTTAGGGGATCATAGACCTTAGACGATCTTAGACGATCTTAGACGATCTTAGACGATCTTAGACGATCTTAGACGATCTTAGTCTCTTAGTAGTTTCCCTTTGTAGTTCAATGGTCAGAGCAGAGGCCTGGCAGCAGCCTCGGTGCTTGAAAAGGCTTCGAAGACTCCTCCCTGGTTTGAAGAGTTTACTCGTGAACTGTGTAGCTTAATACTCCGCGATCCATATCCAGTTGCAGCATGCACCGAGCACACCATGCACGGTATACGCAGTATTAGTCGTTCTGTGCGTGCCGCTCTCATGAAATAGATTAAGATAGGGTTCTTGAAAGCATGCTTCTCTTTCCAGCATATCGCAGTGCATATGTCTTCCATGGTAAATGTATGTAAATGTCACTTGCATGTGGATATAGATTGCTGTCTTGGAAAGCATGTTCAAGATCGCTCAGTGCCAGGGGCTCTTCTTCTGTGCATGACATGTTGTTCAGGTTCACTACCTTTCATCCGAGCTGGTTGTTATGATTCTGTTGGTGGTGTTCGGCTCCAAGATTGGGTCAAAGGAGAGCGAAGATAGGACCTTCATATGCCTTCGAAACCCAGGATTGGTTTCTATGCAATTCCTGGAGGCGGCAAGTCATGAACTCAAGAGTCGTAATGCAGTGTCACCGTAGAACGGCAATGTAGAACGGACCACGAAAGAAATACCCCAGACATCCTTAGACTCAGTAGGCTCATCAGTGCTTGTTTTACCCATTCAGCACTGCTTTTGGATATCGGATGCTTTTGAGGTTCAGAGGCTCATTGCTGAAAATATCACTCCATTTCATCGGCCAGGCCCCACACGGGTACAGCCAGAAGATGCAACAAGTGCACGAGAAAATGACTCGACTTTCATCCATTGTCAGGTTGCCTTGGCTGCAACTTTGAGCCCCTTTCTAGCAAGATGCTTAGATGATCTTAGATGTGTGCTCGTACGATGACTCCTGAATGGCTGTGAAAAGAGGTTGAGCTTGTTTGCCCCCTAGGCTGGTGCCAATCTGCTTTTCTTCGACAACTCCCTGACTTTCCGCTTTCTGAATGCACTGCAACCACAACCAGTTACTGTACAGTTTTCCTGCAATGCACCAGCAACAAGCAGTCTTGCTGCATCTTGCACTGCAGGTACTACCCTGTTCGCTACCTTCACGTTGCGTGCCTTTGTAGCATTTTGGACCAGACAATTTTAGACCAAGAGCCAATGTGCGCAGCACCGAGGTGGTACATCATGAATCTTGCGCCAGACGTATGCCGACCAAGCCGTATTATTATGTTTTATTTGTATTGTATGTAGTAGCTGGTCTCACTTTCACTGTCTTTATTAGTCTTTGTTATTCACTTGTTCGCTATCTGAGGTACGAATAGAAGAGATCATGATGGATCCTCTCACTGGCTTTGCGATCACATGCCTCTTCATCCAAATAGTGCTTGCCTGGGCCTCAGTGCAAGGACCTGCTTCACTATTGAAGCATCTCTCATAACATCTCATAACACCAGGACGAACATGTCGTTGATTTGGTCGATTTCACAGGGAAGTCAAATATGCTGATTTATATGCATGTGCCATGTGAGTCACGGTCAAAATGGTTGAAGACCACTTTAGTATTGCAGGAGTTTTTTGTCAGAAATATGCACAAAACACTGTAAAGCGATAGGGCCCCCCAAAAGCGACAACCTGGGACCATACACGACAGTCCATTAAACTTGGTGTAAACCAAGCAAATACTGTTGTGCACATTCACAGAACGACAAAGCCGATGATGGAAATTCAGCCTGTGGTTCCCTGTTTCCTGCAGTTACCATATCATTTGGCATCCAACTCGCTTGCTCTCTCTCTCTCTCTCTATCTCTCTCTGTTTGTCGTTTGTGTGGCAAATTTCCTTCGAACAATTCGAACAAGGTCATATGTTGGAGGGGTTATTTAGCGATAACCTTGGCGATGACTTAGCGAACACCATTGGTTGCACTCGGTCCCCTGGCTAAGCCATAGAACCATTTCCATAACTTTAGAAAGGAGATGAAAGGACATGAATGCAAAATGAAAGGAAAATGAAAGGACATGAAAGGACATGAATGCACAAAAGGAATATGAAAGGACTATGAAGGAAAATGAAGGGAAATTACAAATGAAAGTAAAGGAACATGAAAGGAGATTGAAAGGAAAATGAAGGGAAATGAATACAAAATGAAAGGAAGATGAATGCAAATGAAAGGAAAATGAAGGAAGATGCATGCAAATGAATGCAAAATGAAAGGAACATGAAGTGTTGCCGAAGCGCCTGAAACCAACAAAACAACTCCTCGATCATCGATCCATTTCCGAGCCTGTTTAGGAATGGATTTTGGCTTCATGTTGGATCTCGAACATGCTGATTTCCACAAAACCCTGGAAAGCGATAGGCCCCCCCCCCAAAAGCGATAACCACAACAATAGCAACTACTCAGATGTAAAGGATGTTGACGGGAGCTCACGTGCTCAAAAAATATTCGGAATGAGCAGCGGTGGTCCTATGGCGTCACATCGCTGTGTCCCAGTTGTGTGCCATTCAGCCACACGATTGCTAAGAACTGGCCTGAATGAGCAGTTGCAACAAAGATCAAGGGCACAAGCACCCTGACAAACGAAGGCAAAAGCCATACAAGGCACAGCGGCATGCTGGCATGTTTGTTGAACATCGTTTGTTAAACATCTTCTATCATACAAATAAGGCTGCTCCTTAGTAGGTTGCCGTGGAGTGAATCTCATCCAAAACGGCCTGGGGTTTTATTCTGCATGAGCAGACAGAAAAGTCCGCGCAAAACAAGCACACTTGACAAATTTGACACAATTACCAAGCCCTGACAGAAATACCAAGCCCTGAAGAGCCTCAAGGCAATAAAAGATTAGCAATAGATTGCATGTGTCAAATCTCCTGTAGAAACAACAATGTTAATGTCAGACCCTTGAAAGGTTGCTTTTTTGTATGATTCTGTATGCAAATTATTATAGTGTGTTTATGATATGTTGTGCCTTGCGTTGCCTGCCTTTTCGATTTTATGCTCCTTTTTGGGGGAGGTCAAGGAACTGAACTAGCCCAACGTAGGTGCAGCGTTTTCCAGCAGATCAAAATAAATCAAAGCAATCGCAAGCCGCTGTAATATAATATTCAAGTGGAAAACGATGGGCTCTTCTTGCGGGAGGCTTGGTTGATTCTAAAACCTGTTCAGATCTCATGTAAGTTCGCACATTGATGTAATGTGATGTAATGAATTGTAATGAGATGTAATGAGTGATATGTAATGTCCTTGATATTCCTTTCATGTGGCATTTCACTCCAAGGTGTATGTAGTCGTGCCTTCCAAGCGGAGAGCGAGTGTCCAGCAATCAGCGGAGGAGTTTCAGCAAAAGACGGGTGGAGCTTTAGAGGCCGATCGTTGCAGCGGCGCACATTGGGCTCCGACGTTTTCGGATACATTCTGGGATGACACCAGATGGCACCAGACGGGGTTTCGATGGATTTCATGTCAGCAACTTAGAATTGATGTTGTGTCACCAGTTTCTTGCTGCCGCTGGGAAGGTCACTGCCGTAAAGAGTGTTCAAGGTGAACGCAGAGAATCGCAGCATCTCGGCCGCATTGAACTAGTTCACACCACCAGCATTCAACAAATATATCTCAAGAGACCTTATATGCATGTAGAAGATAAATGATAAATGTTATAAAATATTGTAAAATCATATTAAAATCCCGCATCCTGGATTCGATTTCATGGTTACCTTGCCACGGCTGTTCCCAATGGTGAGCTGATTGGATCAATGATGCCGGGCCCAGAGCAGGACAAAGATGCATCGTTCCAACACGGGCCTCAGGTGCCCTCAGATATGCTCAGATATGCTCAGATTCATATACAGGGTGATTGAGTAGCAGCGCGCTTGTGCAAACAAAAGTGGACATGCAACCGACGATGTACTGGGTGTACCGAATATGACCGAATATGCAAATGGCGACAGGGCAGTCGTTTCCTAGCAGAAAATTCCAAGGAAAAAGACAAGCAGCAAGGGATTGGATGTGATGCCTTTGCCACAGGGCGAGTGTTTTCCACGAATTGGCGAGAGGATCCAGTGAGGACTTCCACATCAGATCAAAAAAGATAGTGTCACCCACACCTGTCACATGTACAAGATTGTACAAGGGAGGTCCAGGTACCAGTCATGAAGTTGACGGATTGTTGTGATTTGAGACATGTCTATAGGCTTGCCACGTAGCCATGTAGCCACTTGTAACCCCAGGATAGCTTCGTTGAAGTGCTGAACGCTCTTGGAGACACCTTTGAGGTTCTTTTCTCAGACATTCTGAATTCTTGCACCATCTCAAGATATGACATTTTGATTACATTTTGACGGTATGGCGCTCCAATTCCACAACTCATAGATCCAAAGAATTTGGCGATTCTACAGTGCTGCACTCTGTCCTCAACGAGTTTGTATGCAGAACGACAGCTATAGTAGTCCCCTGGCCGTCGATTTCTTCTTGTTGCTGAATTAATTACTCTTGTAGATTCTTGTAGATCATTTGTTGTTGCACTGATCGGACGAGTTGTGTGATTCATTCCATGTCGGAGCGCCTGATATTTTCATTTTTTTGCTGCTATAGTCGTCTATAGTCAGACTGTCTTGAGCAAAACATGCTGTAAAGTTGTCTATAGAAGCTTCGGCAAGCGGGTGTAGCATCACTCAAACAGTGCAAAGAAGATGTCATTTGCATAATATGTTTTTCCGAAAATACATTGTTCGAATTTGCCCTCTGACGTTGTCATCTCATAATAAGTTTATGTCGCTGCACATTGCTGCAAAACTCTGTGCAGTTGTGCCATGCTTCCTCTGACAAAGGCACTGCTGCTTGCAAGTCAAGCAGACAGTCCGTTGAAGGCTTAGAATGCTTAAAATACTTAAAATGCTTAGATACAGACAGAACATGACAAAACGTAGTTTTGAACATCACAAAGAAACGCAAAGACCTTACAAAGAACATGTTGGACCTGAACTTGACGCAGATTGCTCTCTCATATTTTGACAACGATGTCTTCCCCCATGCGATGAACTTTCCCAGACAAAAATGAGTTCAGAGACTGAAAATGCATGGAGGTGCTGCTTTGAAACTTTGCCATGATCATTAGTTTCAGAATCTAAGGGAGATGGCCATGATCTACGGATGCACTTATCCTAATGGATCTAATCCGATCTAATTCTCTTGTCTCATCTTGTGTAATTCTTTGTGCCCCTCGCCTTGCCCCAGAATTCCATGCCATTGGCATACGACTGGCACCGGTGTAAGGCGAGTCCGATGCGCAGTGCTTGGTGTTGCGATACATCCACTGTCCAAGGTTCGTAGGGAGACAGCTTCAGCTTATGTTGTGACCACTGATATCTAGCTGCATCATGCTGCATCTAGTTTCACTCGATACTTGGATAAGATGATACCGATACATGAGGATACCAAAGCTCAAGCCCGTGGAAAAGTTAAGAAAGATATAGAACGATACGTCTATCCTAAGGACGTATTACCCTGTGCAAAGGCCAAGATACAATACAAGTGGAACTCCCATGATATTGCTGAAATGAACCAGAAGCATGGGGGTTGTCACACATGTATACACATGTGTGGTATTCACAAATGGTCAGATACAGTGGATACAGGAGCTTGAATGCCAAGTGTAACATCTTGATACATCTTGCATCATTGTGCTTTCCATGCTGATTCACTGATGCTCCTCAGGCAAGTCCAGCAATGCTGTTGCAATTGCTGCCCTTGATTTTGCCGCAGCTTCTCCTTGCTCGATTCTCAGAATTTCTCAGCTGTTCTGTTTACATTTGCGTCTTGTCTATACGGGTTCAGTCCACCGTTTATCCACCTGTGTTTTTTGGTTGTGTCCAGGTAAGGTTGTGCTTGTGCAAGTTTAATAGAGCTCATGTGAGTTCATGATGCACTTGTTGCCGCTTGTTCGCATCCGGGCATTGGACCTAAATCGTGGCTCAAGCGGGTTTGCCAATGCAAACGTGACAGCAGGACCTCACTTTTCGATTGCAGACCATGACATCGCGTGGAGACGGTAGTGCGAATGGACAGAGCACAGGAATGTCGCCCATGATGGATGGAAATAGCACTGGCATGACTGGCACCAGCGGTACCAGCAGCATGTCAGGTGCCTCACTGTGTGGCCGCTTTGGCAACGATGGAGATTTTGGGGAAGCTGGAGATCGCGGCCACATTGGTGTCGCCGGCATCAGGCACTGCGATTTGCCAGAGCCAGAGCCCAAATGCCTTCCGAAGCCTCAGCCAGAGCCATACCGGCAATGGCATCAATGGCCAAGGTACTCAAGGTACTCAAGGTACTCAAGGTACTCAAGGTACTCAAGGTACTCAGAGATCTCAGAGTTTGAACTCAGATCCATTCAACTTGCGAGCGGAGGAGATGGCAATGGCGGACTGCTGTCTAGGTCTGGAGATTCGGAGAACTTGGTCGGAGCAGGAGCTTGTCCGATCCTTCGGGGGTCGGATGCCTCCAGGGACTCCTGATGGAATGTTCGAGACATGGGATGGAACGCTGACTTGTGTACAGGTTGTCCGCGTGCCACTCGTGAGTGGAGCTGATGATGCTTCATTACAACACACACTGACCCAAACAATCCTCTCCAAGATTGTCAAGTCACAGACATGGCTTAGGTTCTCGAGCGTCTCTCCACATGAGTTCATCATCTTCTGCTGGCTTCCTTTTGCTGTGGAGGATTCAGTCAGAAGTCATGTCGAAACGCTCATCTCAAGAGTCCGCTTGCTTGATCACCGATTCTCAGCAAGACTTCGACTTCCAGCTGAGCCTGGTACGATTTTCCCAGCGCTCTTCGCATGCAACTATGACTTCTTGAGTGCCAGGTCCCGAAGCCTGTCTGAGAGTGACATATCTACGTTTGTGGATTGTGAAGGTGGCGATGGCGATGGCGATGAGGATGATATCTGCCAATGGGACATCACATGGGACTGGGCTGAGATGGCTGAGATGGCTGACACTGAGCTGACGGAAGTTCAGGTCGCAGGAGTCCAGAGCCTGGATGAAGTCCAAAGGAGTCCATGCAGTTCGAGCAGTGCCATGCACTGCTGTAGTCCTCCTAGTCCTCGCACTCCTCGTGGCTTTGTGTGTGATGTAGTTGAACCCGTAGCTGACCAGTTCCCGTTCGAGTTGCAGCTGTCTTGGGACGACAATGGGTGAGGTTCCATCCGAATATTGACACTGAGTATCAGCATGGAGTCAAAGACAGACAAAAAAGCTTATCAATGAGTTTAACAACTCAACACTGTGGTTTTCACTCCCCTTGGTTTCTTTGACTCCCTGGCTTCGTCAAGCTGCCTTGTACAGTGTGACAGTGGAGCTTCCTTTGAAGCTCTTGCAGCAAAGTCTTCACTTGATATGTTCGAAACACGTTCTAAAACTGGGCTGATGCAGTTGATGGACTTGCCCAAGGGTAAGCGGAGTAAGGGAGAACCAGTGGGAGAGAAACGCGCTTTGATTTTGCATGTTGGAATCAGTTTGGAACATTTTGGAACCCTTCCCAAAGCCGAAGCCTTTGGAAACTGATTCAGGCACTCAGATGGAGGACGGTGGAAGACATCGAGGACTTATGCTGCACATTGCTGCGCTAAGTTGCAAAGAAGAGACTGCAACGGGGGAGGTTTAGGCAAGATTCTTTACAATTCAATGTGGATAATGTGGATGCTCTTTCTGGATGCCAAAACGCCGCAAGGACTGCCCTTTGAGTTGTTTTCTCATTGAGAAGGATAGCCTGCTGCCACTGACACATCAATACGACATCGATCCAAATTCATGTCAACGTGACGCAACGTGCCACAAAATAAATACAGCTGCACCTTCACTTGCAAACTGCAAACGACCTGAAGGCACTCGCGCTGGACAGCACCAATTTCGTGTCCATGGCATTGTCCTTGGTTCAAGACCATACATGCTGTTTATACGATTCTAAAATAGGTTCATATTATATTCATTAGATGATTTGAGTTGATTTTATATGAGCATGTTGATTGCAAAGTTGGCTGTTTGAGGTCTACTGGCAACTCCTGGGCCTTGCCACAGATCGATCAGACAAAGCTTGGCCTATGTGCGCCGATCACCTCCTGGCCGATGGCTGTTTCAAATTGTTTCAAGAGCGTATTGATTGCATTCCCCTGAAGATTCTATCGTCATGTATCTTTACTGTTAATTTATTAATTTTATTATATTTGATTATTATGTGCTTCTTTTACGATTAACTTTCTACACATCAACACAGCTAACGCAAGAGCTTAGGTCTGATGCAGAATTATGTCCACTAACTTGGACTGAATTTGCTGCCGCGCAATCCAGCACTCTATGTATGGCCTCAAGAGAAGATTTAAAAGGACATGCGACATGAGTGAGCAAGAAATATCAAGAAGACATGACAAATCAAGATTCAACAAACGCCCTTCCAAAAACTCGCTGAGCAGACACGCTGACATAACTTCAATTTTGTTCCCGTTTAAAGCCTGTTGGAGGGCTGTCATCCAAAAGAACACAACGAATTGTTGCTCGGATCGTTTTCGCACCATGGCTGCCGTTGCTGGTGCACTGATGGACCCCGTGCTGTCAGTTTCGGCCGTGGATGTTCAGCCGATCTCCGAGAGCAGAATTACGACAATAACCGATTGGAAACACATGGAGATGTTGTTTCCAGCGCGGTCGGATATGTTTTCCGTTTCTTAATGTTTCCTTGTCATTCTGAAGGCTTGGGATGTTTGTTTTTTGCTGATATATGTTGCTTGGTCTTTAAGGTCGGGCCTGCGGCATTCCTATACCAGATCCACTTCTCGACTGGCCTGGACCTCAAGACAAAGAACCCCTTTGCACTGAAGCAGTTTATGCAGTCATAGTCCATGGTCGACCTTGAATTGAAAGTTGAAAGATTGTCGGTTAAATTATTTATATAATGTCAAATGCCATGAAACATGTTTAAACAAATGCGTGTAAGAGCTCAGAGCGTTACTTGTATGTCACAGTACCTGGAATGTTTATGAATGGTTTCATATTAGTGTCAGTTGACCTACAACTTGCCGGGTGTCAAGGCAAGCAGACCAAAGACAGCTGAAGACTTTCAGGTCTCCCGGACTCTTGGGCCCTAGTGTTTGTGCTGGGTGGATGAGATAGGGGGCCGGGCCAAACAAGAGAATTTTCCAAAGCGCTTTGAACACGTTTGAACAAGATTTCACTGAGTACAAGTTTCCGTCACCTTCTGTGGATTGGAGGCTTGAATTCAACGTGAGTTGGAGAGTCTTCAGTTGCTCGATGTTGCTCGCCTCAAGAAATGTTTCAAAATGATCCTTCACGGTCAATGGTCCACACTCGCCATCGAATCGGCAGGCCAGAGGCCTTCGCGTTTTGGTAGGGATCGCTTTTGCAGCATCTTGGAGGCACTGAAGGATTCTGAAGAACACTGAAGGGTTGTCGTGGTTTGTTGATCTGTGTTTAGACACCCATGTTATTCTACACTATTCTACAAAAATCTACGGAGCTTGCCAGACCAAAAAGAACACAGCACCAGAATGAGAGGACTGAAAAAGTGCAGAGGACTGCAAATAGAAAGGAATGGCCTGTAATAAAGTATACAAGGCACAAAATGATGACATATGATACAAAATGTATCTCCAGGCTTTAGACAGGCAAAGAGGATGTGGTGCAGAGTTCTTCGTTGTCTGAAGCCTTTCATGTACATACATGAAATGCACATGCACTTTCAACGCTTGATCCATTTCAAGTGGAGATACTGATTTTTTGTATTTTTTGTCATATAAATTAATTGTTTGCTGAGACAGGCCGCAGCTAGTGGCTGCTATGACCTCAACCAGGGTGACAAGTTGTATGTAAAAGTGCCAACAAGAAAAGTTGGGATGGAACCGATCAGAAACACGGCTTGCCCTTAACGAATGAAATCGATGTCAGATGATTCAACCCAAATTACCCGGGCCACTCGGGCAGATAAGCCACACATTGTAAAATGAAGGTGAACCAGTTTCATATGTTTCATGAAGAATCACTTGGCATCATTGTTGGCATCATTTCAGCATCTTTCAGCACCAACAAGCTTGCAAGATTCTGCAAATTGGTCTTGTATCGGTGGAGGCGGAGATCTCGAGGTTTGCTCATGCGCAGAGCAGAGGCCAGCGTTTCGTGCATCATCACGTCTTCACAGTGTGAACACTTATTTATTGTCCTTTCCCTGTGTATATACAATTTTACATTGAGCATCATTGATCTATGTTATGATATGTTATGATATCAGATATGTCAGTTCCATCCTGTTTATTTAAAGTTTCGTTTTTTTTACAGTTCAACATGCCGCAAAATCTGCAACGCACTGGCTCAATCATTGGCTCAACAGCTGACTTGTTCTGAGGCAGCCTTTGCAGATGAGCCCAAGGACCGCCTGAGCAACAGCGGAGATTGCGTAGGCGTAGCCAAAAAACAAGGATTGAGATTGTGTTTGCAAAGCCTAGTGTTCGCATCCCATGACTCCACACAAAGTGGGGTATCTTTAAAAAAATAAAAACATTAAAAAAAAAACATTAAAAAAAAACGGACTCCAAACATGACTCAAAAAAGAGTAGGCCTGGGAGAGCCAGAAACAGAACGACTCAAAAATGAACTCCAAAAAAGCAAAAACGATTCAAGCAACACATGTGTCACTAATGCTTGGGAGATGACCAGATTCCATCGTGGCCACTAGGCCCTAGTGTTTTTCCCCAGGAGTTTCAGAGCCGGAACGGAGAGGACATGGCTTCACTGATGGCCTTTGATCCTTTGATTCTTCGATAATATTGGTGGTTGATTCGGCAAAATGGACGTGCAATGCGGTATGCTTCAAATGGAATGTGCGACATTCTGCTACATTCTGGTGCATTGGATGCACTGAAAGCATTGAAAGCATTGAATGGACTGAATGTTGAATGATTCTCGATTTCCTTGTGGAGGATAGCATTTCCGGAAGCAAACAGGACTGACATGTGCAGCAGTTCCCGCGCCGCGATGTCAGCGCAATGGCCTGCAGGAACCTGATGAGCTCTCAGAAACACAGGACGCGATGGACGCTGAAAGATGCTGGGCGTTTGAAGTGTGACAAGTGCCTTTGCTTCTCCCGTCCAAAATGTGATGTCCATATATAATCATAAAATAGTATATATATATACGTATATATATATACACATTAATTTAATTTAATACTATTTAATTATATTATATTATGCTAGATTATACTATAGTTTACTATATTATATCATGTTATGTTATATTATATTATACTATACTATATTATAATATATTTCATATTATAGTTTATATTATTCATTATATGTTATATTGTATCTTATATTACATTACAGTATATTAATTTATTGTATTATATTATGTCCATATGCGATGGAAGGAGTTCCTCATGTCTATCGGTTTGTCTGCCAAGCAGCTTTGGAAGGCCTGGGAGGATCACTGACTGCTCTTTTTCGCACAACCCATTGCAGCACGAGCGAAAGGTGCACATCTTGATTTCACTGCAGGTACAAAAATTCTGGTCGATCAGCGGAGAAAGAGTGCCGCCACTATCAAGGCCGGCAAGCTTTGATCTGAGAATGCTAAGAATGTCACAAGAACTCCATATCTTGGCAGGTGTGAGATGGTGAGGGACTATTTGCAGACAGAGGTTGGTTTGAACTCCGAGCAGCTCGCTAGGACGGGTTGACGAGAAGTGTCTTATGTTTGTTCAAAGCAACACAAACATTGATTGAAAACTAGTTGATATCTATTGACATGCATCCTCGAAGACATTTTGAGAATCTTTGAGACATGGTTTGAATTTCGAATCCAAGCTGAAAAGGACAATTGCAGATTGCCCAGAAGTTCTGGAGGTGTTCTCGGTCGAGACTTTGAAAGAGAAGGCATCGATGCAAATGGAGAGCAGTTTACTTTGCCTTGTCGTGTATTGGTTGTTTCACAGGATATGGCAGGACTCCAGGACCCATAATGGTAAGTCTTGTCGCCTCACAAAAGGTCTTGCAACTTCGATCAGGTCCGGTTTTTGGAGGTTGAAGTGGGCATTGACGATGATTTGCCAGAGATCATCGCAGCATATCCCAAGGTCCGACAGACACATGTTTAGATGCAGTGCTCATATTTTGAAGACAATTGAGATGGCCGAAATTTCGTGACAGGATTCCAGAATGAAGTGTGGTTACGCCACGTTACGAAATGTTTGCTCTTTCAAATGTTTGACGCTTCTCCACCTGTCAGGTCTTTTGCAGACCGATCTTGACAACGCTGAGACCGGCTCTGGAGTCAGAGGCTTTGTCACGCAACCTCCAAGAATGTTTGGGTATGTTTGGGTTGTAGCAGAGCCAGGCCAGCTGCCATCAGTTGCCACTGCATGCCACTGCATGCCACTGCTATGATCTGCTATGGACCTTTGCAGTTTCAAGAGGTTTCTTGGAAGTTTTCTGTTGTTCAGCAGTGCAAGGTTTTGGTTGGGCACAGCAAAGGTGAGCCCTGAGGCCCCAGCAATCGCATGCAGTCGCAGTATCTCGGAGTTTGTCACTTCAATTTTAGTCACTTGTCATGTCGTTTTCGCGGAGTTTTTACGTTTCACTCTTACGCCCTCCCATGCCGTCGCCACAGGACTTTCCACAGCTGCTCAAGAAGCATGCTGTGCAAATTTGGTCAAGGCGAAGACTTCAGACATTGAGTGAGCAATCTAGGCATGGACAAAGGATAACACAGCCAAAAGTATGTGGGAGTCAGGCCACAAAGCTTAAAGCCAAAGCTGCGGTTTGCCAAAGAGGCAGATCAGATTAGCAAGAAATTTGGCAGACCTCTTTGTGACGTAGTGGTAGCATCTGGTAGCGAATGTCAAAGTGTTGGATGATTGTGACATGCATATTGTGACCCTGTGAAGGTCATGGGTCTCTCAGTGGAAAAGGCCATCGCCTCGTCAGATTGAGGAATTCACCGTGGAACTTCATCCTTTGTCCTTTAAAAAGTCTAAACATCTTTAAAACTTTTAAACCTTGACCCAGACAGGTACTGGCATGCAAGACACCCTTCTTTCGTTTGTCCGTGGCAAAGTGCGGCTCTCAGCACGAATAAAAAGGCGACTACTGGTTTGCCCTGAAAGGGTCATGCAACGGTCGAGTTGGCCAGGACTGTAGCTCCACGCCATTTCTTTGCTATCCAGAAGAAGGCTTCTGGTGAGGCACTAAGCATTCCATAGCATTCCCCGTACTCATCCGTACTCGTAGCGTTCTCTGGCTATGTCTAGCCTGCCACACGGTCGTGCTTGAGCTTCGGGAAATGTTCAATCCTTCTATGCCATGATCACTGATTACTGGTGTTGCGCAGCATGTTTATGGATCTCAGAGAAACTCCAAGTAGCTGATATTTGAGCCTTTGTGCACCATGACCATGATGGTAGGGAGCCAAGTGCAATGACGGCAGTGGAACTGAGTTTCTCTGTTGAAACGGCAGAAGGTGGTGTGTTTGGCGGTGTCAAGTTGTTTGGCCTAGGGCAAAATGGCATCCTACTGGCCAATGTCTTCATGGCCCCTGACATTCCTTGCTTGTCTGCACCTGAGAAAAGGAGCTTTTGAAGGGCCTCCCCTGGATTTTCTGCCTTTTACTCGCCTGAGCTTTTGCCTGAGCTTGCTGAGCAGGTTCCGGTGGCTTCAGCAATATTCTGTCACTTGGCATGTGTGATCGAATTGCAATTGCAAAGCCACGCTTGGAGAGTGGTTTGACTTCAGCGCTTGCAGAATCGTCAAACCATGGGTAGCATGATTACATGCTTGAAGGTGATTCCCTTCCAGTGGTTTTCTTGTCTTTGCAGAATTGCAGGTACAGTTTTGGTCTAGGCTATGGCCTGAGCATGACTGCAAACGCTGGGCTTGCCCCTGTGGTTGCCAAGATGCAGAAGAGGACTGATCACCGCCGTCATCTCCTTTGGCAGCTTTAGCACTCAATGTTTGATGCCCAAGTCCCCTGAAGTCGACAATCCAAACAAATCCAAACAAGGCAACCTGTTGTGATGCAAGGACACTAACTGCCTTTGGGCTGGCGTGCTGCAGCATGTATGCAGCCTATGGGGCTTCTTGGACTTGAATGGTGCGCCTATGTGGCAAGTCTGTTCACACATCGATGTTCTTTCCCGCTTTCGTCTTGGCATCTCTTGATCTCTTGGTCTGAGGTTAGACTCACAACCTTTCTGATGCGGAGACAGGCACACAAAGCAACACAGTCCTGAACAGATAGGAATATATAGGATACAGTGAGATGTCTGACGTTTCTGGAGCTTGTGCAGAAGCAAGTGAGTTGATCGAAATTGAAATGTTGTATATAAATATTTTTTATGTATCTGTATATATATATATATATACAGAATATGGTGTCACTGTGTAAAGCGGTTTCATGTGCCATCTCAGGATGAGGACAGCTACAAGCCCAGGTTTGAGCTTCTGCAGCTGAAGTCAGGAGCTCAGAGTTCAAGAGAAAAATAGGAGCAGTGTAGAAGCAGCATTGGTCCAATATCTTCCGATGCAGCCGTCGTGCGATTTCTGGAAAGTTTCTGCCACATCATCAGTTTCATACTTTTTTCTAAGGTCTGATATGATGGGCATTAGCAGCAAGTTTGCCATTGTGATGGGTGTGAGCTTCTCGCAGGTCACATGTCGGACGTACTTGTATTCGTAGATTAAATCAAGGTATCTATAAACGCTTCTTGCATGATGTTACCATGGCTCGTACGTTGTTCTACATATGTTACGTGTATATATATAATTTTATACATGCATGACATTACATTGCATTGCATTGCATTACATTACATTACATTACATTACATTACATACCATTACATTACATTACATACCATTACATTACATTACATTACATAACATACATACATACATACATCCATACATCCATACATCCATACATCCATACATCCATACATCCATACATGCATACATGCATATATGCATACATGCATACATGCATACATGCATACATGCATACATGCATACATACACTCACTTTGCTTCTTCTTGCTTTTGTTTCTCTTCAAGAAGCTCTTGGTCCACAAAACGGATTTCTTTCCAACTGAAACGACTTGACACTTGACACATGCTTGGCGTGCATCTACCAGCACAGAAGCGCAGGCGCTATATGCCTTGCCTTTGGCTGTCGCGACATCATCTTCTCCTCTGCGTGCTCGACCTGTGCTCAAAGCAATCGGCTGGGCAGGTAACGACAGCGCTTCATAGGGTGGTACCAATGCATTTGCATTTTCACTGAATGCACCCCGCCTCCCTATGTTTCCACTTTTTCATCCTTTTCCACAGGTGTGGGCATAGCAGGCATTGGCCTACTTATTGAGACTTTGGCAGATGAGCAGAAGCTAGCAGCAAAGCGAGAAGCACCTAGATTGCCTGTGATGGATGGATTGTTTAGTCTCTCGGCTATGTTATTTGTGCAAAAGGGATCAAGAAAGCACGCTAGACATTGCTAGACCACATGAGACTACTCCTGATGGCCACGTATCATATTTCAGTACGTATTCAGACATGTACGAGTCATACAAGCTGCTACGGAGGGAGAGACAGACCGACACACGGACAGACAGAGGGAGGGGGAGGGGGAGAGAGAGAGAGAGCTCTTGCACAATTTAAGTTGTGTGTCCCCTTGAGTGAGTGTTGCTGTTATTGTTACTGGCTTAGTTGTTTTGAGAGTCATCGCGGCTAGAAAGACTCTTCAAACGAGTCACATGAGTTTCTCCACTCATAGCGTTCCTTTTGACGTCGTTTGAGGTTACTGCAGGCAGGACGGAAGATTTTGAGCACTGTAACCTTTTAGAACAGCTGCTGTGTGCACTCCACATCGTGCTTTGCTCGGGCATGAAGCAATGAACAAAGGAATTCGAAGGAATTCGATTCATAGAGTATGTGTGGAGATGTGTGGAGTAGTTACTTGCCTCATGGACCAATGGACCATGTCTCTCACTTCTCTTGGCAGACATCCAAATTATTTCGGAGAATTCCTTTTCCATTGTGGCATCTCGTGTTTGAGCTGCATTTACTACAATAGCGGCTGGACCGGTTTGCTGCGAAAATTATGGGTCTCATCAAGAGTCACAAGCTTGGAAGAATGAGAGCCTTGGAACTCTGGCTTGCTGCTACCTTGTTGCTTGAGGTGCATGGGCATAAGTGGGACACCGATTCAGGTAGCAGCCTGCGTTCCGATCTCAGGCTTCAGTCAGCCTGCGCCAGCTGTCCAAAGTAGACGTCACTCTAGAGTCTCTACCGGACTCTACAGGCTTGTTGTAGCTAGTTGTGGCTTTCTATGGCCTGTTATGGCTTGTTAAATTGTGTTGATAATTAATCCTGTCGTTCCACTTGTTCCTTTTTGGCTGTGAGGTGTTCCCGACATTCTTCATGGCTTTCACTCTGAAGAATTCGGCGGCAAGATCTGACAAGGTTCCCTTCCGACTCCGATTGCACATCGCAATTTCATGCTGGAAATGGTCAAAAAAAACACAGTCTTTTGCTATGCAGGAGGCTGATCACAGGTATCGAAACTGTGATGGCTATGCACAGTGGGCTGAAAATACACCTGTGTTCATTCCAGGAGTCTTGGGTGGCAGAGGTTGATGGATGGACATTGATCTTTTTGATGGTAAGTAGAATTACAAGAAGGTGGGGGGTCATGAGCTGTGTCAATAGTTTTGAAGGGAATGCAAGAAGAAAGAAAACTCGTTGAGTCGTTCCCAAGTACTATATATACTCCTTGCAGTCACTAGTCGGCAGTATTTGCGAGCGGAGCATCAGTTTATTTTGCCTATGCAAACTGTTCACATATTGGTTGTATTTTGCTGTGGTGTAAACGCATACAAGATGCACGTGTGCGGAGAACATGGTGGTAAGGCCTACTTGTTTGTTTGCGTCATCTTCCTACTGTTTGATCTTGCTGTTGAATCAGCAGTGGTAGAAAATCATGTTACTGGTTGGGCAATCACGGGTGCAAAAGTGAATTCGCTGCTTGCAGGACTGTAGTGGGGAATGTATAGCAACAGCGAGACTTCGCTTCCGGTGAAGAAGATGCAGGGGTCGGCCATGGACCTATTGACTTCTTGCCGAAGCATATCGCAGCATGCCTTCGCATCGATCTCCTTGCAGGGCGGACATGGAAGGACAGTGGCTTATAGTACTTAGATGTACTTAGGGTATCTTAGGATAGTTAGGTCTGTGGCGCTTGTGGTACTGACTGCCGTTTTATGATGTTTTATGCCAGTGCAGTGAGAGCCAAAGCTCGAGATGATCGCTCTTACTGCGACTGGATTTTAGCTCGGTCAAAATGGCCAAGCATGCTCACTCTCATCTATCGTCCTGAAAAGACACGGGATTTTCTGCTCGCAATTCGAATCAGGGTGCTTTTGCCATAGAAGCAGAGGTTTTTTGGACTGCATAATTATGACTGGATCATACTGGATGCTTGACAGCATTTTTGCATATTTTTACTGGGCTGCATTGACACTGAACACATCTGAACACTCCATGTGATGATATACGATGTAAATTGTAAATTCATGTAAATTCCACTTTTTCAACCAAGGCTTGGACCTTGAAGATCTCGTGGGCATTGGTGATGTCCGCCCCTCGGGAGAGTAGTGGAGAGTATACATGAGCACACTATACGCTATAATACGCTTTGATATGCTACAATTTACAATAGTTTTGGAACCAGCACTGGAGCAGGGAGTGTGTTCTATCACGGACTCTTGGTCCTATTTGAGCAGCATATGGAGAAGTTGATGAAGTCCATGAAGATGCCAAAGTCTTGGGAGTAAGGCAGCCTTTTGCAAGAAGGTTGGCGCAAAGCTCAAGGAGTGGAGCTCTCAATCCTTGCACGACGCACCCAACGGGGCCGGAAAGCAGAGTGAAGAACATATGACATACTAGCTAGTATGGGTTTCAAAATATGTCAAAATAATCGAGTCATCGAGCCATCGAGCCTGTCAAAAGATGGTCAAGATGTCCGAGACGTTCCGAGACGTTTGTTGCCTTTGAGGTATCAAGAGTGGATGGAGGAGTGGCCGTACAGCCAGCAAGCAGTGTTCCCAGATAACCCTCAACAGATCTCAACAGAATGATGCATTTGTATGTGGACCGTGGAACTGCTCCAAAGTGTCACCTGTTGAATCTTGTTAGCAAATCAAAAATTCTGGGACTGCAAAGGCCCGAGCGCTTAGCTGGCTGGAGCCAAAGAAGAGGTTGGGTGAGCCCAACATATCAAGTTGCGGATAGTTGCGGTGTCTCAGTGCACTAGGCACCATTTAGGGTTTCTGTATGTTTCTGTTCTATTTCTTTCTTGCTAAGATTTGAGGGCCTGAAATGGATTGAAAAGATTTGAAAAGATCTTCAAGCCGGTTTTTGAAGTTGTTTTCTTTCTGTGCTGCAGTTCAGCGAGCCCTTCGGGTGGCTGGAGCCCTGTGTCGGTGTCAACAGCAAGAGATTCCAAAATAATTCTGCAGCTGATTGCACCGTATTACGCCAACTTGCCCAACGATGGATCTCCTGGCAGTGTTCCTTAAGCTGCCTTCTTGGCTGAGAGTTTCAAAGTGCGGCAAGCAGCGAGGTCGAAGTAGATCGCAGAATCAGAAAAGGTTCAGAGATCGAAGATTCGAAAGGAAAGGGCGCTGGTCAAAATGGAGCAGGCCGCTTGTCACTTGTAAGACAACAGAGAAAGGACCAGATGAAGCATGTTGGAATCAAATATTATCAAATGGAGTGTTTAATGCGTATCAATGCATTACAGTCGTGGCAGGAACACGCAGAGAGGTGTCCCCTCTCGTGGTGACAGCTTCCAGCAACCCCGTTTCGAGAAGGCAAGAGATATCAAGGGATCATAAGAGATCTACTTTCAACATCTTTCAACGCTTGTCAAATGATGACAAAGGATGCCAGAAGCACATTACTTTGGATATTTTTGGCCAGGCCGATGATTGGGAGGAACGCTTCTCAAGGGCCGAGCTTTGAGTAGATTTTGTTGAAGTTCAGGAGCTTCATGGAGCTTCCAAATTTCCCATGAGGAAATTCGACAGAAGTGTGTGTGTGTGTGATATATTTTGTTTGAACATGTTTGAACGAAGTAGCAGTTTAATGATTGGGCGAACAGTTTCCAAAGATTGAGACTCCTTACGCCCCGACTTCTCCATTACAAGTCGGGACATATTTGTCTCACCAAAAGTTCACGCGAAAGAACTATCATCAAAAAGATGCGATGCCGTGACGCATTGAAAGCTGCTTGAAAAGCAGGGGCTGGTGTTCGCCTGGTGGCTGCTTTTCGGAGAAGATGAATACTGCTACTGATGATCTTCCATCTTCCATGGTTCTCCTACTTGACACTTTTGCCACGTTGCACCTTAGGGCCTTTCATCATGCTGCATCATTTGCATCTATTCCGTTCCCAGTTTTCTGTTTTCCGGATGTTCGCTAGATGTCAAGGTACCAAGATGTGCGGCTTCGCCTCCTAAACGCATTGTTGCAGAGTGACTTCAACGGAAGGCCGTCTGATAAAGCTATGTGAACCTTGTTCCGTGGACAGTTCCTTTATGCGCTGCAATCGCACATCCAATGAGCATCATATGTTGTTTTCTTGACAATGATGAAAGTCTTCCTTCACATTACTACAATTGAAAGAATTGACATGAATTGACCATGGCTTGGTGGCAGGCAGTACAACAGCAATTTTTGCAACCAGGTGCTGGTACCAGACTGTTCAGTCATGGAAGATTGTACAGCACGCACTGGGTGGCAAAGACAGCATGCATTGGCAGGCAATCGGACAGATCGCAGACCAGTCTGGAACCCAAGGTCTTGTGACATGAAGTGAACATATGCTCTGTCGATTTCTACCCATACTTGCACAATCTTGCACACTAGTACTGTATATAACACGGCTCGAAAACATTCAAAAACCGCGAGACATACGACAGATTGAGTGGCGACATTGAGTCCTTGAATCTAATACTGTAGTCTTTTCTCTCCTGCCATCACATCTCGTCACATTACATTCAATCTTTCCTCAATGTCTTGATGTAGCATTTCATTTACATCATGAACGCAAGCCAAAATCATCCACATTCATTCTCCGGCTGCTTAGCATACCAGGAAGGTTCAAGGAGCAGCCTGTGTCCGCTCAGGAAGCGCCTTTCCTATCAAGTGCGCATGGTTGCAAGGTCAGAAACTGAGTTCCAGGCATCGCTACCTGAGTATGACAAACATTGACAAACTAGATGTACTTAGAATTTCTTAGAAGACCCAGGAGATACATGGAGAATATGGAGAATATGGAGAATATGGAGATACAGTACGTTCAGATACATTCAGTCTTCATTCAGTACATTTCTGTAGTGCTTTTTGAGCTTGCGTCAATGTGGCACAATCCGAGGGCTGTGGCTTCTGCTACGGGAGGTCATGCTGGCCGCACTGCAGCCGGGAGCTTGGATGAGTTGAGTCCCTTTGGCCTCAGAGACTGGATATGACTGGATGAAACTCCATGGGACTCCTTATACTGTAATATTATGTATATAATTTGTAATTTATATATTAACTATATATATATTAACTATATATATATTAACTATATATATATATAGTGATATATGTATATATATATACATATATTAACTATATATATATTAACTCTATATATATAGTGATATGTATATATATATTAACTATATATATAGTGATATTGATATATATATATACATTGTATGCATATAATATGATTATGTATAAAGTATCAAATAAAATCAAATACTGGTAGTGTCAAGTAGTATCCAGTAGTAACAAGTAGTAAGTGTGCCATAGTTTGCCCGTATTGCGGGTGGATTCTACAAGGGAAGCCGGACTGCGAGTGCTCTTTGAGGCTTTGCGAAAGCAGCTCACTCTCCTGCAAGAAAGGACCATGGCTGATTGGTTTCAAGATCAACCCTGGATCGAATGTGTGATTGAATGTCGATCGTGGACATTGAACTGAACTGAGCCATGTGTTTTGGAGAAAGGTAGGATGCTGTAGGTTGGACGATTACTTACGTCTTACGTTTGCTGGTCCATTTGCTTCGCTTGTTGATTTTGCTGGTTTTGCATGGTTTTGCATCATGTTTCTCCCACTGACCAAAGGAGAGAGCGCCGAGCAGAGCAGGCACAGAGCTTTGATGAGAAGCCGGAGGCAACAAGATCAACCAGGTCTTCACTGCAAGAAGAGGCAACGAAGTGCGAATTGTTTCAATTGGTTGTTGTATGTTGTGTGTTGCAAATTAAACCACCTTGAGATTGCCTTGTGTATTCTTATGTATTCTTATGTATTCTTATGTATTCTTATGTATTCTTATGTATTCTTACCAATTTGTCGTGTTACTTTTTGGGGCATGATCAGACGCAGTGATGCAACATGATGCAACAATATTAATTGAACATACAGTAACATGCAGTATGCTGATGAAAATTAAATCATTGTGTGTTGTGTGTACTTGTGATCGCATATTGTGTGTATTGATAACTATTGCATGTGTATTGTGTATAATTTTTGATATATTACTAGTATGCTGTCCACCTGCTCAAGGTTGGCGACATGATTGATATGGAGCGTGTGCCGAGTGCAAGCTCGCTGTCAGCAGGCAGGCGGAGTTCCACCAGGCCAGATGCTAGCATGGGCAGATGGCAGAAGTATGCAGAGGTGTTGTGAGACGAAATGGGTTCATACCATTCTAATCTTGAGAGCTCTTTCAAAAGACTTGAATTCATGAGTGTCACGACTCCTTCCTTTGATTTGACCACGCAAGGTCAGTGGAGGCAGGGTCTGTATATAGATTCTTAAGATCCAGCTGTATGTGTGTGTGTGTCAGTCTGCGCGTGAAGTGTATCATGGTAAATCTGATGTCAATCCCAGTTAGTTAGTGTAGCACTGAAGTGAGCACATCAATTCGGATCAAAGGAGCCAACGAGGGGCAGAAAACAGTCGATGCCTCAGGACTCAGGAGACATATAGCAGACTATTCACCTTCATACAAAGTATACATATACACATACACAGGACTATTGTTGCTCAGCATGTTGGGACTAAGCATTGAAAGACTTACGTAGACCAAGGTGGTTGCAATATATTTGGAGACAGTCAATGTGACAGGTTAGTCATCTCATGCTCTGCCTATTGCCTTCGTTCTTCCTTCCTCTTCGACTGTCAAACGTGCAAGATGTTTGATGCCACAAAAGCAGCTGACGCTTCCCTAGGAAGCCTCACCTTGACAGAAAAACACAATAAGCCCACCTCTTTATTTGTAAGAAAGTGGTGCTAGAAAGGGGCAACACTAAATTGATTTGTCAAACCTGCACATGGGAAGGCGCTGGTCTGATGTCCCAGTTGTAGCATGCGCCAAAAGCGCGAGGGCCAACGCTTCTATGTGCTTGCTTGACCACTCCTCACCCCGCAGTGGCCCGACTTGCAAAAGGCATTGACCGAAAGTGTTTGGCAATCGCACATTGGAACCCGCGGAACCCCAACTTAGAACTTAGCATATTTTCATCATAGGCATGGCCTCTCCTTTGCATCCTGGCACATACTTCAGTTATCTTCAGTTCATATTCAAACGCATATTGCAAACTTCAGAGGTGCCACTCTTCTACGTGCTTAGACCTGCCATTCTCATGTAGTGCTCTTTCCTAGCTACCGTGCTTTTCACATGTTCTTTTTGCCGTACAACAAGTGCTGTTTGCTCACCACTTCTCTTGTTCCTTCCAGGGCCTGGCAAAAAAAGGAACCACTTAGAGTTGGGTTCAACACACTGAACACGCTCAATCCAAACTTGTTGATAGACTGCGGCAGCTTGAGCGCCCCTGTCATTCAACCGGTCCTGGTAGCAACTCTGCAAGCCTGGCGCGAAGAATCCGCTGTTGGTAGAACATGGTGCAACACATGAGTGACTCACCCGCAGGTGTAAGCCACAGTGCCCACAGTCAAAAACTGCAAACCTGCATATAATTATAGAAAGTGTATAGATAGACAGGTGCATAGATAGATAAACAGACAGAGACAGACAGACAGACAGACCGACCGACAGACAGACAGACAGACAGACACAGAGAGAGAGCGAGAGAGAGAGAGAGAGTCTGAGAGAGAGAGAGATAGATATAGATAGATATAGATAGATATAGAGAGAGATAGATAGATAGATAGATAGATATATAGAGATATATAGAGAGAGATAGGTAGTAGATATATAGATTTGTAGATAGATAGGTTTGTATATGGTATGTATATGGTATGTATATGGTATGTATATGGTATGTATATGGTATGTATATGGTATGTATATGGTATAGGTTTGTAGATAGGTTTGTAGATAGGTTTGTAGATAGGTTTGTAGATAGATATGGTTGTATATGGTATGTATATGGTATGTATATGGTATGTATATGGTATGTATATGGTATGTATATGGTATGTATATGGTATGTATATGGTATGTATATGGTATGTATATGGTATGTATATGGTATGTATATGGTATGTATATGGTATGTATATGGTATGTATATGGTGTGTATATGGTATGTATATGGTGTGTATATGGTGTGTATATGGTATGTATATGGTATGTATATGGTATGTATATGGTATGTATATGGTATGTATATGGTATGTATATGGTATGTATATGGTATGTATATGGTATGTATATGGTATGTATATGGTATGTATATGGTATGTATATGGTATGTATATGGTAAGTAGGCGGGTTCTTTCGTGCCAAAATCATTCGGCCGCTTTGGACAGGGTGGGCTTCTCCCCAGAAGTAGCTGACTCTGAAGCAGGAAGCCCTCCGAGAGAACCTTGGCTTGCCTAGCGCACGCATGTGTCCTTGCACTTGAACAGTTTAAAGTTTAGAGAAAGTTTCATGCACGCCCGGAAAATACATCATGCAATGGTGTGTGTATATATATATATAGAAGCAAGAAAAAAAGGAAGTGCTAAGGCCTTGCAGTGAGCACGTAAATTGCAGTGAATGTCAGCTGTTCTATTCCATTCCACTGATGCTTCACTGTACGGAATTTTAATGATTTTTAAGCCATTGCACTTCAAAAAGGCTAGAACGACAAAAGGGCTACAAAGGTAATGTGATACAAAATATACAAAGGGAACTCCGGTAGGGAACTACTAATAATTTGGGTGAAACGGGTCCAAATTAAGAAATTTTCCTGGTGGATCTGGTGGCCTGGTTCACGCAAAGCAAGTTCAGACCAAGGAAAGGCTCCCTTCTGGTGTTCTGGGCAACTCCCCAAGTGACTTTTCAAGGCCTGGTACGGAGGATGTTTGCACTCCGTAATTATGTGCATGTTACCTGCGTTCAGCTCAAATTGACGGAAATATGTAGATATGAAATGATGCGAAGCTGAACAGAAATGGCGAAACAATGCGAAGCACTCTTGATATGCTTGGCAGGCAAGGCTCGGGCTCAGGCTTGCAGGATTTCCCGAAAGAGACGGATGCTCAAAGGCGCGAATGCGAGAAGACAGTTCGCCGGCTGGATGCAAAAGCTGCAGAATGTGGTGCCATGTCTGATCACATGTTGGTTTTTAGCACGTCCTGTGCAGATGCTGCCGTTGTTGCTTTCGAAAGAGTCCGAAAACAAAAGTGGACAGCATCGTTGAGGACTCCTGGTCCCATGAACCAGCGAGAACCAGGGTGCGTGCCCAACCAGTCAAGAGAACCTCGCTCAGTCATGCTCAGTGATGAGGAGTGGAAAGCGGACCCAAGTATGCAGCAGTTTGGGAACCAGGACTTGAGAGAGATTTGAATTACGCTTTGAGACCTGCGATCCTGACTCCACCACTTGTTAGAAATAAACAAATGCTTGAAATACAAGACTTGTGCTTTCCAAAGTGCTGGAAATCTTTGACTTTTCAGGAGATGAGTCTGCTGGATGCGTGTGGAACGCCACTTCCGGTCGAGCCTTCTTTGCCACTGGGGGCTCTGCAAACCAAGCGGCAGCACCCTCAGTTCGCAGATACCACATCCCTCCGACTCAAATCTGAGAAGAAGCAGCTACAGATGTGATACAGAAATATACAGAACATAGACACATGACATGACATGACATGACATAATGATACAATATGCTACACTCATACATGCAGTACATATCAGATCATATCAGTACATGGTATACATATGTTCTAGATACATTGCATTACATTGCGAAATTTGGATAAGGTGCTTCGTCGCCAACTCTGCTGTGGCTCCAGCAAGGGGCTTGGTTTGCAAGTTCCTCGAGGTTTGATTCGCAAACGTTTTGTCTCTCGGTGCATTGCATGCCCAAAACAGCTGGAGGTTGTCTTCGCCTATGAGGACAATCACTCCAAAGGAGCAAAAAGACGCAAGTGTTCACGTCGGATGCAGTTTTGGTTTGCTTTTGCACATGGCTTACGTGTTTTCTCCTTCTTTGCTGTCAAATTTGTGATGATAAACCAAACCTGGAACGAAGATGTTGGAGGAAGCACGGAGGGCAGCCACTTGCATTTGTATGCAATGAAGAAAGGCGATGATTTGCGGCAAGTCTGAGCCTCGAGAGATCTCGAGAGCCTCTAGAGCCCCTTCACTTCGAATTCACGTGCCTCCACAAAGTGGACAACTGGCTTTGAGGATGCGTTCGTTCTCCAGATATTTCGCATCATGGTGCGGAACTCGGGACACGTTTTTACATTTACATGGAGAAGGATCCAGGATGATACTGCCAGTTGATAAGATTTGAGACGAACATTGAATTGCCATGAAACTCTTCATATCTTGTGTAATCACCAAAGCTAGCTTCTGCTAGCTGAAGTCCCTCTTGCTTTAGCAAGGTATTGGGGGGATGGAATCTCCAATCGCGAGAAACTTCTCAGTTAACTACCCCCCCTCTCCCCCTCCCCCTCCTTCACAAGCAGTTTGGTCGTGGGCTCAACCCCTCCCGGGACACGGTCAGTAACAGCACCGGCACGATCATTGGTATCCACCCTCTACACTTCGCACTCTGGAGTCCACACTTTACACGCGAAACTTTACACACTGCATCTTACATGTTACACTCCACACCCGACATGTTACACTTATATATACCTGTTAATGCACTTTACACTCCACTCTTTACACTCTAAACTTAGACGCCACACTTTAAACGCCACACTCCACACCGGACAGTTTACACTTAACTCTTAACACACTTTACATGCCACAATTTACACTCTAAACTTTACACTCCACACTTTACACTCTAATTTTTATCACACTTTACACCCCACACACTACACTTTATACCCCACACTCCACACACTACACTTTACTTGGCACTCCACACTCTACTTTTACACCTGGCACTCACACTTTAAGGTTTACGCTTTCGCTTTCACACTTTCCACTATACTCTTGACTTTAGACCCTCACAACTTTGCCCTTTTCACACTTGACGCTGTATGGAACCTTGGCCTTGCTCCATTTTTCTTGTTGCGTGCGCACATCTACCTGTCGTCGTAAACTGTCGCCTCGCACTGCGTGACGTTTTCCCGCGCTTCCAACGGTCCACTCCGGTGCCGAAGGTGGACCTTTGAATTTTCCCGACTCAGTTGTCATGATTTTGTCTATGCTGAATGTCTTCATTTGCTTCGTCGTGCAACAGTAGACAATCATATGTTCTCAAAAATTGTGCTTACACCTGCGCTACCTTCTGTGTTTCATGCCCATTATTCTGGCAAGCTAGCTTTTGTCCCTTTCCCCTTGCCCTCAAGTTTCTCAGGAGACTACATGGGCTGAACATGGATTGAGGGAGGCAGGGAAGGAGTCGTAAAAAGTGCCAAACTGTCTGGAGTAGCAGAACTTGTCATGACTAGATATGATAGCTGTTTATCATGGTTTATCTTGCTGAAACGTCTTGTGGTTGTGCACACAGTTTGCAGGTCTCTTTAATGCCATACAACGCATTGGCGTTGTCCCCAAAGGCTTGGTCAGATATTTACGAGCTGAAGCGCCCTGTTTTTAGGGGGTTATACTACCCAAATCTGCCCAGTATATTGCCGATTATCATAATCCATTGGGGGAATCCCTATTAACCGATCAGTCTAAAGGGACGACAGAGGGTTTTGGACACTGTTCACTTGCTGTTTCATCGCAATTTCTTATTGGATGGTACTGATGTTCGGGCTTGAGGTGCAAATAGATGCAACATGATGCAACATAGTGCAGCATGTATCAATATGCAATGTTGACGGTTTATCGGTTCAGGAGGGAATGGCTGCCTTCGTGCCACGAGCCAAGAACGTAGCAACCATCCTGCAGGCACAAAGGGCAGGGGAACCATTTGGTCTCAGGAGAGCATACCAGCATATAGCTAGTGACTGAGCAAAACGCCCGAACCGATTGATTTCAGCGTGTTCATTCGGACGCCCCGCCAACAACATTGTAGCAACATTCCTGTGCGCATTCCAAAAGTCTCCCCAAAAAAGCCTGTGTGCAGACCTGCCGACCTAGCATACTGTCTATGTGGTTTCTCTTCTGTAGACAGAGATATTGCACGCAGTTGCAGCTGATTCCTTCTCGTTGAGGAGGCAAACATGCAGTTCCAAATTCTACTTTTTCCCACATAATGTGGGTCATGTGCACTTGGATATGTAAGGCACTGCCAAGCTCGTCAATCGCCATCAGAAGCCACTGTGCACGCGCGCATACATGCATGCGGGCACAAATACAACATGCACACATGCACCAGCGGCACAAAATGAAGGGAAACGAGCACAATGTGGCATGACTCTTGCAACTGCACATGATGAAATGACATGATTAAACACCTACAAAAATGGCAAAGGGTACAAGAAGTTGATTGAAGATGCCTGATTTGTGCATGTGGTCCTTTTTCGGCAATCTGCACTGCTTGACTGGGACATACTGGGACTTTGCATGTTACTGGCTCACACCGTCAACGAAGGAGCTGCAGTGCTTGAGAGGAAATATGGTGTTGTTCTTTGCGAGCTCCAGGTGGTTTCCCTCTGTCCCAATGTCGATCTTTGTCCAGGAATTTGATGGAGACATCAGCCAATTCCTAAAGAAGCACTGTCCGTCTCTCAGTTGTTCCAAACCCAATTGACAGCTGCTTCAACACTTATAATATTTTCTTTGGCCATTTGGTGTCAAGAGTGATGAAATCACAAAAAGTCAGGTGCCGGTTCAATGTCAGCGGCCTATGATCAGCTTTGCGGGAGCACTGCAGGGCCAGACACCTGGAGAACGATTTCGGAGACAAATATGTGTTCATGTTCATGCGTGTGTTTGTGTGATTGTGCATGTGAGGTACTGCATTGCTACATACTTGCTGGGAATCGGTGATCGGCACTTGGACAACATCATGATCACACAGGACATACTCTGTTTATCTTTGTTTCGACATCGGAGTCTTGGTCCATGCTGTGCGATTTGCGAAAAATGCTGCAGAGCAGATCTTACAGATTGCAGACAGGATGGACACTTCTTTCACATCGATTTTGGTTTTGTCCTTGGTGACGATCCAAAGCCTGGAGCGCCATCGGTGCGAGCTCAATCCTCAAAGCTACCATGATCAAAAGCCATCAAAAGACTGCATATTGTGAATTATCGTGATATGTTCTGTACTCAGTTGTACACAATTTACAGTGTGTGTTTTTTTGTCTTGCCGTACGTGCTTAGGCTGCTCCTTTGATGCATGAGAATCTAGTGTCCAAGTGGAAGGAACTGTGAATTACTCTAAGTGTGGGAGTCTGTTGAATAATTCACAGTGCCTTTCCTTCGTTTCGCATAGATTCTCAATCATAATTTCAGTCCTGCATTCTTTTGAATAGATCTCCACAATACCACCTCGTAGTATCATGTAATGCCACCAGTGTACCATGTAAGATTCTACCCCCTTCAATTGCCCAATTGTTTGTTGTTCGGGAGCATTTCAAAGAGTGTGGTTACCAGAGTTGAGGTTCCACGAGAAGTGCTGGAGGTGTTGAGGCATTTTTGCAAAGCTGTGCCCACTTTGTCACAATATGTCACAATATGTCACAATGTGTGCTCAAAGATATTCCTATATAGGATCTCCACGGGCAGCAAGGTGATGTGTGCAAACACTCGCAGGCAATCTGGTCGGTATGAGCGCTTCCGGGACCTTCTAAGAGAGGTACAAAGCTGTGTGATGCCTGTGATGCATGTGAGATCATGTGAGTTTCTATCTGAAAGAGAAATGAGGAGAAGAAGAATTCCGGATGTTGCAGGACGCTTGGATCCTCTATGGATTTTGACGTATGTTGACTGCCTCGGAGGCGTTCACACTTGTACGTCGGACGGCACGCCTGTGGACTGCACTATTGGCACTGGCTTCAAGTGCTGGAGGGTCAGTATCTCGGACAGCTTCGTTCATCCGGTGCATCGCTGTAGATTTCATTTGAACTCTTAGGGATCCAAGAAAACAGCAATGCCTTTGTGTTCGTTCAATTGACGTTTCCAAATGGAGATTTCAGTGCTGGAAGGAATGGCGTCACACCGCTTCAAAATGATTCAGACCGTGCTATCCATACAGCGCGGAGTCTTGGGAACGTGAGACCAAAAACCATGCCAGACTTGCCAGGGGTGACCAACCAAAGACGTTCTGCCCAACAGAAGTCTCGAAACTTGTGGGGGAGACGGATTCAACATGATGCAACTTCATTCAACGAATACGCATCCAGTTACAGTCTTCTGTTTTGGGGGGCCTTCCTGATGCCTGGTATCTGTGCCATTTGGATCCATTTGGATTCGGTCTGCTTTCTTGGCTTCGTCGTTAGACCAAGCAATGCAGAGTTGCGCCAGTTGCATATGTTGAATGGACCCGATATGGACAAGTCAAACGTGCAGCAAGGCATACCTTTAGGATCCTTTAGGCAATCCCGCAACGTCTTTTTCCGGATTCTCCATGTTTTTTTTATGTTTTTCTCAATGGTGCTTGAGGTGCGGCAACGCTTGCATTTGGAGCTCAACGATGCGGCAGCCGCTGCCGAGATTACTGCAGAGGTTCTGGGGGCATCCCATGCCAGTTGTATGTGACTCATGCCGATTGAAATAGTTGCATCATGTTGCATCAAGCAAGGAGCAGCATCAATAAGCATGATGAAAGCATATGCTGCCAGCCAGAAGGAAAGCCATTTCTCTCCAAACACACACAGAATCAGAATACAAGGCATGTCTTTGTCTAATTTGGTTGTGTCTCTACAGCTCCAGTTGCATCCATTTGCTGCAATGGTGTGATCTAGTGTAAAATAGTGGCTGCATGTGGCTGCATGTGGCTGCGGTGTGCATATGTGAGGTGGAGCAGAATGCTGCTGCAATGCTTCCTGTCATCTACGACAAGCTGCACCAGGTCACCTGGCCGACGTCCGAACAGAACAAGCAGAAGTGCTATAGTAAAATCTAGTAAAATCTAGTAAAATCTTGTATCATTACATTAGATATCATTAGATATCATTAATGAATTATTAATATCATGATGCATCATGAATCATGGCTCTATTGCAAAGATGAAGTGAAATAAAGGTCAATCTGAGACAAGGTGAAAAAGGGAAAATAAGGGAACTAAGATCAAATATGTAAGGGCTGCTTGATTTGAAACATGATGGTCATTTGCGGTCACACACAAGTGTGTGTGTGTGTGTGCATTTCTGATGCGTCCGCTGAGGCTGGCCTATTTTGGCACTGACTTGGATGCTTAAAACAGAGGGAATGGTCCGAACTTTCGCAACAAAGACTTGCCTTAGTGGGTGTGTTCAAATCAGACACGTCCTTATGATTCCTTATGCATCTCATGCCCCAGAACCTCAACTGGTTGCTGGCCAGCATGTTATTATAGCCTCGATTCCAGATGTTTGGCCCTGCCTAGCACGGAATCAAGTTAATGTACTTGCGGAAAGCGGCAAGTTGCCACAGTCAAACTCTGGCAGATTAAACTTGTCGGATTGTTTCCCGAATTGATTCATTCATCGCCAGAAATAAACGGTCGAAGTTGAATTATGTTATGTGCTTCTGGTATTTGCGGATTGGTGATGCGCTGTTTGTGTTTGTTTGTGGCTTAACCTACAAGACTGTAGCATGAGACAGGAAGTCAATGCAAAGCGAGCTGACAGAGGATCTTTAGATGCAGAATCGGAAGGCACTCAGCAAACAACGCTGCACAGGTCTGCCCTTCCACATGCCTTGGAATTATATTTGTCCATCAGACTGCAGCATATCAGCAAATAAATACCTCCAAAATGGCTGACAACAAAGCAGTGAGGATGTGGATATGCTACTTTGACCGCGAGTCGACAAGAGAAAAGTTGATTTGTTTAGCTCTTAAGCGCCGAGCAATGCACTAATGAAACAGAGCAATGCAAGAATTAAGGAATGTCTTGGTTGTAGACGTAGATGTTGTAGTTGACCAGCGATTCAGATCAAGTGCGCGTGACAAGCCTCCCCACCAGTTCTTTGTTGAGTTGACTAGAGACACTACAAACTCACAAACATATCTAGAGAGTCTCTGATTTTTGCAGATTTCTTGCCTTCAGGGCAGCACCCAAGTGGATCAATGGACGATGATGACGACGTGCCTCCACTTGAGGCAACACGGCGTAAACCTGACGCCAAGCAGGAGGAAGGCATCAATGGCAAAAGGGGAGAGAAGAGCGAGAGGACCGTTGACCCAACTGATGGAGCCGACGGACAGGAAGCGGTTGAGGAACGGAATGAAGTCGCAGAAGCCATGATGCAGCGGGCTTTGGCAGCTCGTGAGCAGAAGAGAAAGGAGACAGACGAATCCAGGCGAAAAGTGGATGGATTTGGAGGTGGCCTGAAAAAGGGTTTCCTCTCTTCAAAGCCTCAGGCAGGAAATAGAGTTTGGATTGCAACCGAGAGCTTGACAAGTCATTGCAGTAGGTCCTTGGGGACGAGATGCTGCATGGATTTTTTTGTGAGTGTTTGTGTTGCAATCTCAATTGCTGTACCATTCTGTAGTAAATCTGGCATACTTGCCCTGACATGTGACAGGCAATCAAAGCCAAAGACAGAGAAAAGGACAAGCAACCAAAAGATGTTAAAGAAACCCAAGAGGCCTGAAAGGTCCTGAAAGCATTTGCTGCTTCCGTATGATGAAGCCCGCTGTAATCAACGGGCATGAATAGCAGGTTCCCTTCATCGCGGGCGCTGGTTCCAAAGAGGCCTCGGATACTGGCAAGGTTTGAGCAGACCAAAGGTTTTTTTTGCCCTTGCCAGAGGTTTGTTGGTATCTGAAACGAACAGAAACAAATGCTGAGTGTGGTATTGCGTACACAAAACTGATGTGTTGTGTACGGTAATTATATAATATTATATAGGTATATACACATACAGTTTTGCGTTTTCCGGTGTCCGCTCTTAATATCTATATGAGTGCCCAGAAAGGATGCCAAGCGGATGAGCCTGCAGATGCCCGAGGCCGCCTGCACTGCAGTACACTGCAGTACAGGCATCCAGAATCATCCAGATACAGAACGAGTGGCGAACCTGTTCAGATCCGTGGCATTCTGTGGCAGGTTCAGCAAGCTATGCAGGGAGTGGAGAAGCTGAAGCAGGATCAGGCACATTGTGCAACAATCGCAGGATGTCCAAGTTTGTTTTTTCCTTGAAATTCGCCATAAGATTCTCGCGTTCCGCTTTTCTCATTGTTTCCAATCTTTGCTGATGCTTTGACGTGCCCGATTGATGGCATTTTGCCAAGCTGTGCTAGTCCAACATTTGCAGTTCCGTTCGGAAATTGCGAGTTCCTCACCATCCCTCACCAGAAAGCAAAGTGCCGGTGCCATGAAGATCCACGAATCCAGAGAATCTTGTGGCGTCGCATTTGGTCCCTTTGAAACAGTTTTGCTCATCGCATCGCATATCTTTGCGCGAGCTGTTGTGCGAGCTGTTCGATTTTGGCCCATGTTGGCACTTCGTATTGAAATGTGTTGAACACACCTTGGCAGCTTTGCCAGTCGTGGGTGACGCCTCAGCTGATGGCTGCTTTGCAATCCCGCCCAGAGCTGCTGAAGGCACCAGGATCATGTTTCGCCTGTATCGGTCCCAATCAAAAGCTGGAGTGGGAACAGTGTAAACATACGCTCATTGCTGATGTACGCTGATGTATGTTGATATCCATGTTGATCGGGTCGGAATTGTTTTGAGAATGGCGAGTTGCATCGAAATGCTGATCCGCTTGTTCCATCACTGTGTTTATTGTTGCCTTGTCTCATCTTGTCTCATCTTGTCTCATCTTGTATCGTTTTTCCCATGTCTTCTTGTGTTGAACTTTGCTCAGTCTCTCTCGGATCCCAAGATTCAGGAGGCCCATGTTCTCGTGCAAGATGCAGTGTGCATGAATGCATCATGAATGCATCATGAATGCTATGTGGTTCCTTGGACAATTCCAAGATTTAAGGAATCTTAATCAGTCTTAAATCTTGGATGCTGTGGATGAGGCAATGCAATTGATGCAGACAGATCCCGATGAAGCACGACGCAGGCGTCTTCGCACGATTGAGACTTCAAACACCTTCAAACATTCTATATAATCGTATCTAATCGTCACGAACAGGTACTCCGATAATGAAGAGGTGTCAAAGTTTATCAAGGCGCGAAATCTTTGCGCATCCTGGCACCACTTTTGACCCAGAGAGCTATTGAGCAGCTCAGGATTTTGGCTCCTTGATGGCAACACATTTCAACGTCCTCAGCAAGGAGGTGCAATGGATTTGGTGCAGCCAAACAAGCTGGCTCCCTCGGATTATAATATTATAGATGTCGAATATGTCGATAAACATCGATAAACTGTTTCTATAATTTGTGCAGTTACCAAATTTCCCAAATCTCCCAATGCCCTTTGATAAACTTTGATCATCTGCCCGATAGTTGAAACATGTTGAATCCAGGCATCAAACACACCATCCGGGTACTCGTTCTCAACTCAGAGTGACAGCTTGACACAGCTTGACACAGAATGACACACTCCAAGGAGACTGGATATGTGGATTGAAAATGATTGAAAGACACAGAAAGCACGTGAAAACCTGAAACGTTGAGATCGGTTGAGTACAGATGATCAGCATAGTACTATAGGAATCTATATAGGATACTATAGGCCTGGAGGCTTGGAGGATCTTGGAAGACATTTAAAGCAAGATAGAGGATGGGAAAGAGGAGAGATAAAGAAATGAATAACAACGAACAATCCAAGTTGAGACCAAGGGGATCTGCGTAACTCATCGATACTCATCGTAACTCTATGGAAAGATCAGGAAAGTTGATTTTCGCGCCGATCTGCTCAGGCCCAAGGAGCAGATTGCCAAAAGTCCCAAGAATGCGCAGAATGCGCAGAAGGCGCAGAATGCTCAGGCGAGGGACTTGCAGCAAGATGCAGCAAGGCTTTTCATGGCTTTTCTAGGAGTTGTAGAATTCAAGGGGCAGCCGAACAAATAAAAGAAATGTTGAACCTGTACTCTAGATCAAGGTGTGGATGTTTTCAGAGCACCCCTCAGCTTCATTCCAAGCCTGTTCATTCTGTACATTGTGTGTGTGTGTGGGGGGAGTCCTATTGCCTTGAAGGCTTTGCCAACAGACGACCCAAAGGTGGCGGCTGCATTTCAGGACACCTTGCAATCACAAAATGAATAATTTTACATAATTTTACAATAATTATTTTGCAAGAAGCTACTGGAGATTGTTGGAGACTCAAAGCCTTGGGCCCCAGAATCATCGTCCTGTGGCGAGAAGCACCTCTCCAGGATCCTGAGGTTCAGCAACTGCTGTCGGAACTATACGCTGGAAAGCCGTTGGAGATGCATGTCAAAGCCTTAGAAAAGCATTTTGCACATTGTAAGATTATGTAAGATTTACCAGTAGTACCGCACAAGGCGGTGGCGGAAGTTTCGAAAATGGGAAACCTATAGGAGAGGTTGGTTGTTGTGAATCACGGATGGCAGAGCGAAGCCACTGATGGACCGACAGGTGGTTGAGGTCTCCTCTCTTTCTCTCTTTCTTTCTCTCTTTCTCTGACTACCTACCTACCAATCTATCTATCTATCTATCTATCTGTCTGTTTGTCTATCTATCTATCTATCTATCTATCTATCGATCTATCTATCTATCTTTCTTTCTATCTATCTATCTATCTATCCTTCTTTCTTTCTTTCTTTCTTTCTTTCTTTCTTTCTTCTTTTCTATCTATCTATCAATCAATCGATCTATATACATGTCTATCTATCTATCTATCTACCTATCTATCTATCTGTCTATCTACCTAGCTATCTAGCTATCTCTCTATCTATCTATGTATCTATCTTTCTATCTATCTATCTACCTATCTATCTATCTGTCTATCTACCCAGCTATCTAGCTATCTCTCTATCTATCTATCTTTCTATCTATCTATCGATCTATCTATCTATCTTTCTTTCTATCTATCTATCTACCCATCCATCTATCTATCTAGCTATCTATCTCATCTGTCTATCTAACTGTGTATCTATCTATCTGCCTATCTACCTATCTATCTCTCTGACCTATCTATCTCTCGGTCTGTCTGTCTGTCTATCTATCTACGTGTCTATCTGCAAGCTTGAAAACCGAGCTATTCTCCGAGACACTTGCTATCTATCTATGTATCTATCTATCTAGCTAGCTATCTATCTCTCTATCTATCCATCTATCTATCTATCGATCTATCTACATGTCTATTTATCTGTCTAGCTATCTGTCTATCTATCTAGCTATCTAATCCATCTATCTATCTAGCTATCTATCTGTCTGATCTGTCTATCTAACTGTGGATCTAGCTATCTAGCTATCTAGCTATCTAATTAGCTATCTATCTATCTATCTTTCTATCTATCTATCTATCTATCTATCTCTCTATCTATCTCTGTCTGTCTGTCTTTCTGTCTGTCTATCTATCTACCTGTCTATCTGCAAGCTTGAGAAAACGAAGCTCTTCTGCGAGACTTCCTCATTTTTCGAAGTTGACAACATCAAAAACGAAGCAATTCTGCGTGACTTCCTCATTTTTTGAACTGGACAACATCCAAAACGAAGCAAGTCTGCGAGACTTCTTCAATTTTTGAATTTGACAACATCAAAAACAAAGCAATTCTGCGAGACTTCCTTCAAAAATGGAAAGTTGAGTGCGGAGCTGACAGCCTCGTACCACTGCGCTTTGCGATTTTTCCAGTCCACCTGTCGAAGGTACTGCGCCTGCGACGAAAAAGTGATGCCAGGTCATACGAAGTGCTGCACCTGTCATGCAAAATCATCTCAGCAAACCTGAAGATCTGATGCTCCAAAATGCAACCCCTCTCAGGAAATCAGCGCCCGGACCTCCTAACAGCTCTGATAAAGATGTCTCTTGTACTGCGCCTGCCACGCGAAATGCATCTTTGCAGATCCTCTTCAAATGTCCCACGCCTGCCATCGTTTTTGGAAATGCCACAAAACCCTCACGTTTTGCTCATTTTTGACAAGGTGCACCATCCCTCGCGCCTGCCACGCGAAACGACATCTGAATGTCCAAAAGTGGCGCGTACATGTGGTGCTTTGTACATTTTGACTTCGACATGTGCTTCGCGCCACAATGGCGTGCACTTTTTCGACATCTCAACTTCCAAAAGTGGTCCGAACCTGGTGTGCTTGCTACATGTTGACTTCAAAATGTGCTTCGCGCCACAACGGCGTGCACTTTTTCGACATCGCAACTTCTAAAAGTGCTCCGAAGGTGAGGCGTTTTGTACGTTTTGACTTCGAAATGCGCTTCGGGCCAGAACGGCGTGCACTTTTTCATCTCTCATCTGGCCAGATGGCTCCGCACCCGCCGCTTTAGCGAGCCTACTTTTCGACCCTCCGGAGCCACACATCATTGGAAAAACACTGTGTTTAGCGGCTTTCCTACCTTTTCGCGCATCTGCATCTTCTTTCTTTTGACTCTTTCTCTTCTCTGATCTTCTCTCTTCTACTCTTCTCTTCTCTCTGACTCTTCCCAACTCTGCTTTTCATCTGTCCATATTGTCGGAAGTTTGACTTCAAAACTTCCTTCGATAAGGATGCGTGGATGCAACTCTTTGTTATTCATTGGAGTCCTGGCCGTTCACTTTTGATCTTGCATGGGCTTCTGACCGCGGACATAAATGTGCGAATCAGACGTAAATATACATTCCGTATCATCCCGTAATGTTGAAATATTGCTGATTAATGCTAATTTGTAGTTATATAATGTTATATAAATTATATATTTCAAACCTGCAAAGTCTTTACGGTCTTCATCGTTTATGGATTATGGATAGTTGCCTAGGAACTTTGCCAGCAGCGACCGCACCTTTTTCACAAGGCTTTGGCTGCTGAAACTGTGCCCCAAGGCATGCAACATGTGAAACCAACTTGAATTACAGGTGAAGATTCTACTTGACTCTGGTTTGTTGGCGCTCCAGCTTGCCTCTTAAGAACATGGCGCTTTCCCACAAGTCTCTCAGTATCTCTCAGTATCTCTCAGTATCTCTCAGTATCTCTCAGTATCTCTCAATCATGTTCGATTTCGCAATCAGCCCATCCATGGATTTGCTTTGCCGTGGCTAAGGAGATAGCACTCTGAGGTCGTTCATAGTCTTAGCTTTGCAGAACATGAATAAACACCAATGAGGAAGAGACATGAACCAAGTGTCTCATTGCATGGGCATGACTTGGATTTGGAACCACAATTCCACAAAGTGTTAATTCAGATGTAGATAGTCGCTGCCAGAAAGTACACGGAGCAGAGCTGATAAAGATCGATATATCACTTGGACCTTTTGCGTCAAAGCATTGGAAAGAGCTAAGCTGAACAGCTAGTCACTGAAGGAATGAATCAATTCAAATCAGGGAAATCTTGCAAAACTCACGAGTCGCGCATGTACTTGCCTTTTTATTGCGTTGCCTTCCAGTCAACTTGCCCAAAAGCAAGACAGAGTAGGAATGCCGTGGCAGACGTGTTTCACCTGCCTCAATGCGGACACGGCAAGTTATCAGACAGTACTGACATGAGTCAAGAGAGTCAAGGGAAAGAAATGACAAGAAATGGCAAGAAACAAGTTTGCGAAATCTGCTGTTGCTCGCTTTGCCAGGCAGTGCAAAGTGGACTTTGGTGCTGGCTTCAAGCCAGCATTCAAGGCTGGGACGAGTAGGAATTTCTCTCATGATGTTCGTCTTTTTCTTATGTTTTTGTTGCATCTTCTTGTATTGTATTCTCTTCTTGTTATTCTCTTCTTTTCCTTGTCGCTTCTCTGGCTACAGAGAGCTGTTTAAAACTCACTAGATCCATTGGACAGGTACATGCAGCACGTCCTGAGGGCTAAAAGCCGGCAGAGGCGGCCCAGGACATAGCGGACAGCGTCCATGTTTTGCATCATTTGTAAGTCATTCTTCACATTGCTTCACGTATACATGTACACGTTTCTACATGTTTTGCATATATGTCATGGCATGAAGGACTCCAGGTTCTTCAGTCTCTCCGAAATCCAGCAGGTCTGCCCCTCGAGAAGTGCAGCAGTTGGAATCAATTTGACTTTTTAGTACCGATACTTCTAGCAAATGCATGTGTATCCGATCCTATACGAATAGTTTATTTGTGTTTATGTCCTTACCTTTGCATAATCCTTTGTTTCGTAGAACTTCGACAGCTCTTGTTGCGAGCTGAATCGGAGAATCATGTGTGCGTGCGTGCGTGCGTGCGTGCGTGCGTGCGTGCGTGCGTGCGTGGGTGGGTGGGTGGGTGGGTGGGTGTGTCTGTGTCTGTGTCTGTGTCTGTGTCTGTGTCTGTCTGTCTGTCTGTCACCTTACTCCCCACTCATTTCCATCCATTTCCTGCTGATTCAGAGGAGCAAGGCAGAAACGGAAGGCGCCGCACCCTTGAGGCGTTGTTTCATGCTTGCGGAATGCCTCTGCTTTGATCTTCCAGAATTAATCAGAATTGTGGTATCACGAAGAACGTTTCTTGAAAAAGGTACTGGTACTTCGCACTGCACCCTTGAGTGCAGCGCATGTGTAGGCTTCCGGCACTGTACTGCACTCCGCACATCAAGGTGCCAGGCACTCTATTTGCCTGAAACCCAGAAGTTGAGAAGAATTTGACAAATTATTCTAATTTATTTGTGTCACAGAGATGAGATTAAACAATTGCCATTGCATGCCATTGCGAACTCGCCAACACACTTGAGGTGAGTCTTTCTTTCTCTTGTTGTCTTCTGGTACTTGTATCCTTAGAGAATACCAAACGCAGGCTGGACTCTTGGGTTTGGGAGTCACGGACTGAGGTGTCTCCATTGCTTGTGACCTTTACCGCCGACAGTGAGGACAAACATGTGAAAGAGTGCGAGCTTTAGACTTCTTGCACTTTTACACTTCCTTGTAGTTCTGGAAAGGGTTATCAAAAGTTGGGCGCTCAATTTGAGGTTTGGCGGGGAGCTTTACCAAGTCAACTTGGAGGCAGTTCTTGCATTGCTGCAAGCATTATTCCTGCATAGACCTGCATAGTTCAGATATGTACTGTGGATATGAAGGGTGTCTTTTTGTTTCGCCGCCCACCTCCTTGTATGTCGGGTAAAAGTATGGACCCAACGGTTGCAGGGTAACCACAAGTGAAGAGTGGCTGGATTGTCGTTGAGGGATGATACTGTGATACAACGAAAGGATGCTATGGAAATGGATCTAATATGGTCTAATTGATACAAAAATGATTCATAATGTCATAGTGTGTCAGTGATTCAAAATGTCACAATGTCTTCTAGTTGATCCTGATGCACAGGTGCAAGATGTTCTTCAGTGCGGAGGCATCACTATGCCGCATGAGGAGACCAAGATAGACCAAGTCACAATGTCACAAGATGCTGGGGAAGACTCAGCATATATGTATATATTCACAATTACTCATGTATAAATCATGTATAAATCATGTATAAATCATGTATAAATCATGTATCATCATGTATCCGATTGTATTCGATTGGATTCGATTGTATCCTATGGGCTGTCACCATGTCAAGCCATGTCAGGACGGCACTGACTTGGCATACTTCTTGCAGCTCCAGACCAGGACAACTTGCATTGGGCTGTTGGAGTGCATCTGTCGGTTTTCATTCCACTGCCACCCCTTGCGGGGTCTCGCTCACTGTGTTTGTGCATGTGTGGTTGGTGTGTCTCCGCGCAAATCCAAGCAAGTTGCGTTTGCACCATGAGTAAGAGTGAATGACGTGTGTTTTTTGGCCTTCCCGACTCTCCCTCTCTCTCTCTCTATCTTTTTTCTCATGCCAGCACTGCTGATATGTTTGGAAAAGTTCCAGCCGTGCTTGGCAGAACATTGAATGGGCATTACTTTACCCGCGAGGAGGACCTGGGTTTAGTCCATACGACTGGACTCAGTGGAATTTGCAATGCCCGGGTCACCTGTGCAGGACGGAAACGATCCATGGTTTGTCGTTTTCCGGCTGATGGGGAAGGAGGACCTCCACAGAGCAACTGGGCTTTGCAATGTTGCAGTTGTATTGGCGGCAAATTTGCATTGGCAAATGCATGCGTTTATATGCGTTTGTGTGTGTGTTGTCTCTAGACACAAAGTGCTGTGTTTGTCATTGGACCATTCTGTTCCATTTTTCGCTTCTTAGGCTACTGCACTTCTGTTAGATGCAAAGCAGGCGTGACTTTGGCTTGCTTGTTTTCTACGTTCAATTTCAATTTCTCGGAAGGTGTCAAGCATTTGAGTTGGTGATGGATGCCTTGTGAGTCACTTGCTGCCTGTAGAGGCCAGTCCTTCACAATGCACTCCAACGACAACATCCGTGCCCTTCCCATGCCTGGTTCCAAGAACTTCTAGTGATCACCTCCATGCATTTTTTTTGTGTTTTATTGCATTCTGATAACTTCCAGATGCTTAGATTGCTGAGGTTTGGACTGCATGGCAGAGCTGGAGGCACCATGTGGATGTTTCACTAAGTAGTGAAGTCCACAGGTGTAGCGCAAAGGAAGGAGGTGCAAGTAGACTCAGTCGGTTGAGATTCTGCCATGTCCCTGCAGCATGCAATTCATCACCACCAACTCCAGCAACAGCTCGCCAAAAAGCAGGACAGGCAGAGCTTTGGTGCATTCTGTCAGACTTCTTTTTTTTTTCACAGTTGACTCATTTGACTGTTTCTTTCGGTTTGAATTAGTTGGAATTATGTGGGTGAACTGACAACTTTCCTTGCGGTTTGAAAAGAAAATTGATATCAGATAGAGGCCAGTGTTAGTTTTCTACCTAACCATCCTACGATATCTCAAAACCTTGTTCGTTGGCTGCTCCACAGGAGCGATGGCCTTCGTCATTTGCACCATCCCGGTTGAATATGGGAAGCTTTGCCAAGTTCTTGTCAGGGTGGGACTTTGAATCTTCAAAATCTGATGTGGCCAGAGCTTTCCTGCCACATTTGTGGATGCTCCAAGCGACTTAACTGAACATGTCCATGGTGCCAGTTTGGGTCCGACGGTCCGACGCAGGCCTGGAGATTCGAGGGGGAAAGGCTCAGATTCACACGACCCTGCCGGGGAAAACGCACCCGACGAGCCCCGAGGCAGGAGATTGAGCTGTGTGTCCTCTGTTGTTTCACATTGTTTCATTGTAGGTTTTTCTTAATCATCCTTAAATCATTGTTTTACATCTTTGCTACAGGAGTTGCTTGTGTTGTTGCTTTGTTTTGCTAAATATGCTCGTGAGCTAGTGAAAGTAGCGCCTGTCAGACCCATGAAAATGTTGCCTTCCTAAGGTGTCTACATTGACAAGGCAAAGTCAGTTGCAAGCCAAATGCTGCTGTCATATCAAATCATGCTTGGTATGTACTGACATGTTTTCCGTTGCCTCAGAGGTGGTTTTCCAGCTCCCAGAGCATTGCCAGCGGTCGGTACTAACCAAAGACCTTGCGGAGCGGTTGCTTGCAAGATCAGCCACGAGAGTCCATTCATTGCATTGGCTGTTGCAGAAGTTTTCTTCCTTGGAAGACATTATGATATTAAAAAGACATCAAAGACATAAAAGATGTTGGAAGTAAAGGGACCCTGATGTTCCTGGTGAATTCTATGGTCGCTTGTGCCCTTCAGGAGGCTTTGTTGGAGTACCTGCCCGTGGGACTTCGCCTTCCTGGGCTTGTTCAATGGGTACTAAGATACACACCCAAGGTGTCCCGTCTGATCAAGCAGGTCATTTATTTCAGTGCGGATAATCCACATGTTTCTCACACTAGGATAGTGTTTCTTGCGACTTGTTTGAAATGTGACATTTCTAATACATTTCTGCCGTTGTGTTTTGAAAGGCCCATGGAGTGTCGTTGGCGACCATGTTTCGAAACCTCGCAGAGTGGAGAGCTTAGTTGGACCCCCGGCGCTATATGCTGCAAGCAACTCTCGCGAGTTCTCTCCGCGTGGATTCTTTGGGCCTCCGGGGACTTGTTCCCTGCGCATCTTTGAGAGGGTACACTTCAGCAGCACGAGAGTACACAAGTGCAGTGTTCACAGGCGCACGAAAACGGTGGTGATCATTCAAGACACGGAGGAGGGGATATGTGGGGATAGTATGTAATTTAGATTTGTCGGGTGGGATTCTCGTTGGAAAGCTCCAATATCATTTGCCAGTGCAAAAGTGGTGGATCACCCATCAGCCATTGCATTGGATTAATTACGATGATAGGCCATAGACATCCATAAATAGTGTATGACATTGTATGACTATGTTCTGGCTCTTGCTAGAAGAATCTTGCAGTTTTCTGACAGGACTATCTTTTTGGTGGCTTTGCAACTTCTGCTTGGGAACCTTGCTCCAGGTCGGCAGTTTTGGTTTGCCTCGGCCACAGCTGACAATGCTTGCAGAGATTCAATTCTCTTGGCTCCTTCAGGTTTTATGGTTCAGGGGAGGCAAGGCGTCCTCAATAGACACCGCAGAAAGTGTTGAGATGTGTTGAGATTGTGTGACTTCTTTTGTGGGAAAAATGGACAAATGAAGAATGGACGATGTTGGAGTCTGCAGAGTTGAGACCTGGGAAGGCCTTTGTCTTCTCCTTTGGAAAGGTCAAAGATGATGCATCTCCCCAGGTGCATGAGTTTCGTAATGTTTCGTATAGTTTCGTCTATTTCCATGATATGTTCTACTGCTCATTGGCTTCAGAGCAGCACAAAGTGAACAAGGCTGTCCTTGCAGTCAGTATCAGGTTCAATTCTTCCCATGGTCTTCGGTCAACGAGCTCTTGACTTGGACAATCTTGGACATACTTGGACTATATTTGATTTACATGTTGGCAGAATTTGCAATGCCTGTAGTCCCAGTTTTTGCATGTTCTTTTCCACCGTCAAACTGAGAGCGTTCTGCAAGAAAGGTCAAGGTTGTCTCGTTCGTCCCGACAGGTTTGTTTTTCCATTTCCCGAAAAGTCAAGGTTTGTTGATAGTCCGGATATGTCACGATATGGTACGATAGGACGATATGTCTGTTTTTATGTCATAATTCCTGCGTTCCTGCGCTTAGGTGCTGCATGTATGCGGATCAGCAGATGTTCGGAATGGGCGGCGGTGAAGGCGAGGCCCGATGAGGTAGTGCCACGGAATTTGCTAATGAGAATGAATCACATGAATGTCAATATAGTTTAATATATATATATATATATTTAATTATAATTATATATATATATAAACATATGTTAGTAAGTTGTGAAACCTGAGACTCCTGAGAGTGTGACTTGTGATAAATTACGTGTCATTTTTTCCTGAAACTGTTCAGTTCAGGGTTGGTTTCTGTCTTTTGTGCTGCTTTGGCCAGAGGACGACATGCGTTCCTTATCCAGTCAGATTTGCTGTGCCGATCTCAGTGAGAGTTCGGTCTGTGACTCTTGAATGCTTCACATTTCGCGTTCAGGCAAGGACACTCCTCTCCTACACCAACGTTCAGGTTTCAATCTTAAATTGTCGGTTGTGTTATCTAGTTGACTTGTCTTCAGAACCCATGGTGGAATTGTTGGACAAGAGGAGACTCAGCAACTGGTTGTTGTTGGGACACAAGGAAAGTTGACAGTTTCCAGACCGCTTCTGTCAATGAGGAACACAATCTTGGCCGCAAATGAAGAGTTTGTGGTGCGCGATATTGAAGTGCAGCTTGGTTGCACTGTTTGGCAGAGCAGCGGAAGGTAAATATACTTGCTCGGAGTGTCTACCGATTTTTTGGAAAATGGTCTAGCAGAGGACAGGCAGACAAGAAGGGCATGTTCAGAGCAATCGTAGGTTTCCCGCAACAGTTGATGCAGCTGATGCACTTCATGGACCCTGAGGTGGTCTTTAGAAGAAGTCCAGTGAAGCGCTGATCGCACAACTGGCGCCAGTGCTGGTGAAGCTCAACAGCTGGAGCCAACCGGGGCCAACCAACGAGCTGCTGATGGGATCAGATGGGAACAGATAGGATCAAAGGCCAGAGGCAGCCGGAGTGCAGCGCAACACGACGAGGTCAAGCGTCTTCTCAGACTGGCATGATGAATCGTGAGTCCCCGCGGTCGCAACGCGAGAAGGAGGAGCAAAAAAAATGAGAGGCGCCGGCCACGGAAATATCACAAGGTCAAGAAACATAGAAAACAACAAATACCGGATTGAGAAACTGGGGTGGCAGCCAAAGGCAGTATAAGGCAACAACAGTATTGATCCCGTCTCAAAGGGAAAATGCAAAACAGAGAAGGATCATGTAGAAAATGAAATGAGATTAAATAAGATTCACAACTGAGATTCACGTGTCGCATGGATCGGTGTCCTTCTCGTTCTTCCATGAACATGCGTGCTGCTTTCTCGTGCACTGCAAGCTTTGGAAGGTGCCACGATATTGAACTGCTCATGATTCACAAGAGGTGCCCTTGAACATGATTCTAAGTCATAAAGTATTTAGTAGCAGTATGAGTAAGGGCAACATCTTAGAAATACCTACAACATCCCATAACATCCCACAACATCCCACAACTGTGCTTGGAATCGAATTATCGTTGTAAAATGTTGTGAAGTTGTGAACGCCATGGTCAAGGCGGAGCTTGGAAAGCCACTTGTTCTGGGAGATCTTGATCCTGGTTCTTCGGACTCGGCAGCAATTCTTTGGCTTCATGGCTTTGGGGATTCGCCTGGAGGATGGGCTGCAGGTCTGCAGCCATTCCGAACCTCGGTGGATGCAAAGTGGAAGTGGATCCACCTTTGTGCACCCACCTTTGTACAGCCATGCTTCGGGAATCGAAAATTCAGGGCGTGGGGACAGTTTCTTACACAGGAACGGCTTCGACCAGGATCCACTGATTACATGGATAATGACAAAGAAGGTGCTTACGCCTCCTCAGTAGAAGCAGTGCTAGCTGAACTTGGTGAACTAGAGCGAAGTTTGCCGCCCAATCGGTTGGTGATTGGTGGTTTTTCGCAAGGGGCAGCTATTGCCTTGGAATGTGCACTTCGGTATCCAAAGGCTTTGGCCGGTTGCATTGTCTTAGCGGGCTGGGCCAGACCACCTGTGCATGAGTTGCTTGCAGCTGCCAAAGGGAAGCAGGAGATCTCCACACCATTTTTACTTTGCCACGGCGAATCTGACGATATGGTAGACGTTAGTTGTGCGGAAGCTGCCAAAGACATGTTGCTTGAGTCTGGTGCGAATGTTCAGTTTCACAAGTACCCTGGCATCCAGCACGAGTCGTGTCCAGAACTTCTCACTGCTGTCATGGAATTTATGTGCAATAGTCTGCACTTGCAAATTCCTGAGAACGTCAAGTGGGAAAATGGGAGTGACAGTGATTCAGAAAACGCTCTGGTTTATGTGTCAAGGAGTAGGCTGGAGCCTCTTCAAAATGCACAAGGAGACCTTGGCAATGAATCTATTGTGGAACTACTTGACCCTGCCGGTTTAGCTGAAACTGAGATTCTTGTACCTGCGGTCTTGCAGCCAGAACAACTGTTGTCTATGCCTCCTGCAGAAGCGATCAAAGTTATCGCGGAAGCGGTTGGGGGTTCCACTGGGCCAGAGATCACAGTCAAAGAGTGGCGTGACATGCATTGCCTGTGCAGTGAAGCTAGTGAAGAGGCTGAGGAGGAGGAGTTGAGCAACGACGACGATGACAGCGATGCGGAACCACAAGAGGATGGCCAGAGCGGTCAGGCTGCCGAGTCCGAGGCTTGCAGCGAGCCGCCTGAAAAAAGATCGCGTCGAGAAGGTGCAGACGGTGCAGACGATTGACCAGGGCAGGCATAGCATGGGAAGTGCACAGCGAGACTTGCCAAGTAATTACAAAAAAAAGTCCTTGCATGTTGCGGGGGAAGTGTGACTGAAGTCTGCTCAAAATGTGCACAGCACGGTACAGCATCTGGCTTTGTGCAGAGTTGTGCATGCTTGAACCAGCTCATTTTTGATTTAAGCAAAACTCAACAGTTTCAACAGAACGTGGCAGAATGAGTGCATAAAGGCATAAGAAGGGCAAAGCTCTGTGGCAGTGAAGTCCCTTTGCCAGAAGCCTAAGGAATGAACAATCGTCAGGGGAGAACAGCAATTTCAGATGAAACCGCAGGGCGGAACTCTCATGGTTGCCCATAACAGGAATCAACTTGTTTGCGCTCCTTCATGCTCCTGCTAATTTGGGAATGGTGTTCTTTGATGTTCTTTGCACTTTGCACAAACTAGAAATGATATTGCCAATTGGCCTACTCTTACAGATCCAAGCTTTGGCTATCCATCAGTTTCAAGTGCGAAAGTTTTGGGCTCTCAACAGCCCAACAAAGTAATGTGGGTTTTGGCTTTTAGATGCTTTTAGTATCTCCAGATCTCTCAAGTGCATTCAGACTCATTCAGAGAAGTGCGGTGCCTATTGTGCTACTAGTGTTATTTCGAGTAGGGTGATATAAGGTTTGGATAGTATCCATGAAGAATTTGAATCCTCATATGCCACTGTGCAGTGGCTATATGGTAGGCTTCGTTTGTACGCCCCGCAATCGTCATTTCGTACTTGCCTTGGTGGGAATCTTTCGAAGGCAGTCATCATTAGCATCACAGTCTGCTTTACATTCTCATAGAACGTGAGCCTTTCAAAACTCGTGGAGATTAGGATGTCTTAATTAAGGCTTCGAGGCTTAAGGCGGGACCCACAAGACAAACCACGGTTTTACCTCGCCTTCAACTTGTTTACAGATCATTGTAGGATAGTGATGGATAGTGTAGATAGTTTTTTGCTGATACCGTGGGGGGAAAGAAACGGACACCCAAATAGCTTTTGTACATTTTGATGATTAGCGGACCAAGTACAAATCTCCCTAGTGTGCCATGTCGCATTCCTTAGCTTTCGATGTTTTCAGCCTTAAGTCTGCATGAGACGGCATACATTCCGACGGCGTTGCCGCCTGTGAGCATTGTGAGCAGTCGCAGGTCCAAAAGAGTATGGAACAGACTCCAGCGACTCCAGGCTGTGGCCATAGCCGCGCCCAGGGCATGTCGCAAAATCCGCAGAAGAGCTCAGTCCGAAACTCTTTGGGTCAATCTTCTGAAACATTCTGCAAACAAACTTAACGAACTTAGTGAAGATTGGAAGAAGTTGGAAGTAGATGCATGCAAAGTTGAGATTGACCAGCTTCAATCCGATGAAGAATCCTTTCGGGAGTTGCTGAAAAGATGTCCTTGGGGTGATCCAAGCACAACAGCTTTCGCGCCACAACGTGTTTCCCGCGATGTTGTCGTCTCTTCTCATGGCCTGGCAACCCGTGCCATAGTCGAATGCGAGTTGTCACGTGCCTTTTGGGAGCTTCGAAGGGTAACTGCCAGCGATGACTCAAACGCCGAAGAGCAGGGAAAGCAGGTGCGTATTTTGTCCAAAGCGGCAATCCATCACTTGCGGCTTCTGGAAATTGAAAAGGCACATGCCTGCTTGACCAGAGCTTACAGCTTGAGCTGTTCATGGTCTCCATTGGATGGCGGTAACTTTGATGTGGGTTTCCTGGAATATACAACCAAGCTGGTGGCGGCAAAATCTTTCAAATTCCCAGCCGCAGCCAAGTGCTCGGAATTGGAGTTGATCCGCCAGCGCCTTCGCGAAGTGAAGTACACAGAGGCCAAGGTGCTCTCCGCATGTGGTGCCTTGTCGCTATCACAACTTTCTCGGGGCTCAATGACGCAGCAATTTGAAAAGCACTTGAGCGCATGGCATGAAGAGAGCCCAGATGAAGAAAGCTCACAGAGATCCATACTAGTCGACCTTGTGCTTGTGTTTCTCTTGCACAAGGCAATTCCTGCAGACAGGCTGCACACGGCCCTGGGACAAGACGTTTTCCAAATACTGCTTGATCATCATGTCTTGTGCAAGACACAAGAAGCTGATGAAGCTGCAAATGTTGAGTCCATGAAGCATCAAAATGTCTTGGCAAGTGTTGCCTTGTGGCCAGTGGGGATGGATCTTGTTCTCGCCACAGACTTTGAATCTACATGTTTCTCAGATTCTACAGAGCCTGCAATGTACTTGTCCCAAGACTCCCTTGCTTTAATGACTGCCGCCCCTCGAAGACCAGTTCACAGGTTGCTTGATTTGTGCTGCGGCTGTGGAATCCAAGGGCTAATGGCTTTGCACAGTTATGCTGAAGCTGCTGTTTTTGTGGATGTTAATCCACGGTGCCTCAGTTTTGCGGCATTTAATTTGTCTCTAAACGGACTGCGAGACAAATGCGAATGCCTTTTGCAAAAGGACATTCGTCACGACAGTATGCCCCCCCTTGGGACTTTCGATGCAATTTTAGCAAATCCGCCCTTTATGCCAAATCCACAAAATATAGCTACTGGCGCGAGCCTGTTGTTTGGCAACGGTGGCGATGATGGCGAAGACGTGTTCTCTGTTGCTGTTTCCTTTGCAAGTAAACATATGCGATCGCGTGGGCACTTTGTTGCCGTGTCCAAGACTCCAAACATTGATGATTTTCCGCAGCGGCTGCGCTCATGGTGGACAGGAACTTGCAAAGGATCAGCACAAGTATTCCGTGGACCCCCCGTTGGCGCACAAGAATACATGCCAACAGCAATCAGCAGCGGAGTAGAGCCCATCCGATACCAGCAAGCCCTACGAGAACAGGGAATTTACAGTTTGTCTCAAATTCTCCTTTTTATCAGACTTGGAAAAGGGGGCAAGAATTCAGAAAACCAAGATGATTCAACTGTTTTGGACATCTCTGTGTCTCGAAATGTTCACAAAGCCTTTTGGCTAAACGTGGAGGCGCTGCGAGAAATTAGAACAGAGCTGGAAAAGTCAAGGTCCACCTCTCAAAGCGTGATGCATGATGATGCACGCAAATGTTGAGAAATTATGAATGCGGTTCTCGTGGAAACCACTCCTGCGTCAAGCTTCTAGACTTTGTACTAGGTGTGACTGTGCTCCTTTCCATCACTAGCTGTGCAAAGTTCTTTGGTTGTGGCTGTGGCCATGCAATCTTGAAAAAATGTCATTTTGGTCGTGGATGTCGTGGCTATGTTGGACGCTTGGAAACCTTCAGCTGCTCAAAGTGCCAGTCAAAGGGGAAAGATGAAAGAGGCAATTTCAATCAATTTCACATAATCTCACCATTTCCAAGGGAAATTGTGGAGACGGAAAGCAGCATGGACTCTGTGAGGCATTGTTTTGTCCTGGTCGAGAATAGCATGTTCTGGGTTGAGAAGGCAGAAGACAGAAAATCCGGAAAAGTTGAATCATGTTCAATCCTGAAAGTAAGTCATTCTCTTTTTCCGACATGTTCAGACTTGTTCAAACATAAATTCTATTTTCTACAGTGCACGACCTACACGTCTTTACTCCTACCCACTTTGTGTTTTCGCCAAAGTGAATTGCTGAGTGTTTAGAAGTTCGAGTGTATGTGCCAAGTCGCGGAGACCGCGGTGCCTCGCATGATTCGGGAAGCTTATAGCGTTGGTGCCAAGCCATCTGAGAGGATTGCATTTTGGAATCTGAATAGAGGAGCATAGGATTATATAGGATTCTAAAGAAAGGGCAATGGGGATAAAGCGGAGTGCTTGCGGGATTTCATTGTCTACGTGTGGCTATGTTTGACTATGTTTGACTTGCGGAAAGTTCAGGTTGAGCCGAGGGTATGGATGAGAGCACGAGCAATCAGGCAGGTGTCAACAGATCACACCACATGCTTGGCGCTGGGAGTGCTGGGCATGTTTGACATGTTCCCTCTTGGTCTCCAAGACGCAAGGATGCTGAGAAGCAACAGGATCCTGGCGAAGTGCAAGGCTTGAGCCTTGCAGTTGTTACAGCACATGGTCCAATATGATCCACTTGTGCTGCTGTGGTTACTCAAGCATCGCAAGCATGTCAGTGAAGAAAACAAAAGCGATTCAGGAGAGGTCAGGAGAGGCACCAGCTTGATTTACTATTCCAGAAATCCTGGCGCTGCAGGCTCCAATGATGCTCCTCAGTCAAGCGAGCAGATGACTGAACCTCAGTCAAGCGAACCGATGACTGAACCTGCAACGAGGCCCAGATTTGTCATGACACGATTATATTCTGCATCATTCTGCTATATCCTGCAAGCTCTGAGCATGTTTGGCTAGGAAGCTTTGTACTGTTTGCGGTTTGGCTGTTCTTTTGCAGAGTCCTTTCTTGCATTTCTTGCTGTGTGTACGCTGACGATGCGCAAGTTCCTCGTCGGCACCGCGTAACGAGTATTTGGCCTTCCGAGAGATGCTGAAGCTGGGAGCACAGAAAGAAAGCTTGAAGTGGGGGATGTGTTCCATGTGTATGCTGATCTATGCTGTGTTGTTCGATATATGGCTGTTGAGCTGATTTGCATGTTTGAACAACTTTGAACAAATATGACCTCTACTGCCTCTACTTGCTCTGCGTCATACGTTGTGCGTCTGTTTTCAGTGACACAGTATATTCCTGCTACACATGCTCTCCCAACGCTAAAGATGCACCTGAGGCATGAGTCCGCGTTGCCTTTGGCAGCAAAATTGCAGGCTGAGACAGCTTCTATTGCTTCTGCAGTTTCAAAAAGATATCAGAGAGGAGAAACAAGTGACAAGCAGCTTCTATTTCTATGGGCTCAGAGATGATGAGACTTTTGGTCACAAACATATTGCAGGAATTTGTGCGAAATTTTCCTGAAGGTTCGATTCCTCAGCGAAATTATGAAGATGAATTGTTGTTTGCTTCAGATTTCCGAATTGCCATGTCATGGACCAACGACCATGGACCAACGACATAGACTAAGACTAAGATGACTAAGGAGGCATATCTCGTGATCAAGCAGCTGATCGGGTTCACAAGTTTCTCTCGTCGACTCAGGAGTTCGCTTTGTAAGAAGGATGGCATTGGATCTGCAGACAAGTTCTGTTTTCATGGAAGTCATACAGTAGACGGGCAATGTATGGCAATGCGTCATCTGAGGATAAGGCTTTAGTCTACATTGACGGTGAATGTCCTAGATGCAGAATGACGTAGACGTACGATGTGTTGCCAGGAATTGTTCAGCTAAGCTTCTCGCTGATTGCAGGAATGGATGCTGTCCAAGGTCGTGGTTTTTGCAGCAGAAGCTGACGAGGTGCATCCGAGGTGCAACTTCCTCCGTTCACATTTTGTAGCAGCCTGCCAGGCTGGACAACAGAGTGCAGCAGAGGGGCTTGAAAAGCTGCAGCCACAGAGCATAGCCACCGAGCAGATCCGTTGCAATGTTTGTTTCAAAGCAAAGTGGAAATAACTGTAAGACTGTGGCTGAACGAAGGTTCCTCGTCATGCGACTGCACGGAAAGATCTTTTGGTTGGAGAAGAGTGACCCAGAAGAGGACTTATATGGATTTATTTTCGCCGTTTGATTTAGCAATGCGTGGATTATCTAACTTGTGTCGTCCTTCCGAAGCCTTCCAAAGCCACCACTGATGTTTTTGTCGGACTCCTCTGCTGTGAGGATGAAATGGTCAAGCGGCGGATAGATAGCCTGAGCCGGGATCACAATTCACCAAAGTGCTGTTTCATGTGACAGCTGAAAAGCATGGAAAAGCTTCACCTGAGGTTGGGTTGGCTTTCAAAATCTAGGCGTTCCATCAGCTGGACTCTTACAGCTGTTTTCTCTTTAGTGTTGAAGTGTTTGGTCCACGTTTGGTCCACCTTTGGTCCATATCTGTCCATGTTGATCCTTTGTCGCCAACTTGCTCCAGGTGGATGTCACCTTGCTAGATTTGGCAGTGGACCAACTTCGAAGCATGGACAAGTTTAAGGTGCACTGCGGCACTGCTTCGTGTTGCTTAGACAGCTGTGTTCATGGCCTTGGTCGCCTTGGTCGCTTTGGTCGGCCTTTGTGGCCTTGGGTGTTGCCAGGCTCCACGCGACAAGATGATTTGCATTCTGAATGCATGCCGAGTCGCCAGTGACTCAAGAGCCCTGCTGTAGAACAAGCCAGTGAGATGTTCTTGAAATATCTTGAAATGACCTCCAAAATATGAGTTCTGTAAGCTCTGAGATCAATGATGTGCTGAAGAGAGCTATCGTTGAAAGCTTGGACCTTAAGTAGTTCTTGTGTTTTTCAGTGTATTCCCAACTCAACGCATTTTCACTCGTCAGGATTCACAGTGACCATAGGCCATAGTGGTTTGGCCCTTTGGCAATTGCAGAGCTTGGTCATGAGGCGGAGGAGGCCGCCCTTTAGCAGCTGACGACTTCTTGCCGCTGCTGATCTACTGCCTCATTTTAGAGCCTTCCCCAGACTAATTTGGATTTGCAAAGAATGTTCTCTTTGATGTTTGTAGACTTGGCATGACTTGGCTGTTTTGAAATGTTTTGAAGCCTTGCCACAGTTGAGGCCAATCCCCCGCGGCTGCATTCAAACATTGAGTTTGTCGCAGCTTTCAGGCACGTTTGTGTAGTTAAGCAGCCACTGGCATCGAGTTTATACGGACAGTATTTTTTTCTTGTGACAAATAAAAGATTCACGGGGATGGGAAGTTGATTGAAAGCAGCTGATACATGCTGATACTATGTCAATATATGTCATATATTGTCATATTATACATCTGTATTATGTATTACTATTTATTTTTATTTTCTATTCCATACGTACTCGCGGATTTTGTAATCCGGGAGGAGTCAAATTTCTTGGTACTGCATGCGCCGGGAACAAGTCTTGTCTGGGAACAAGTCTTTTCTGAACCTTCCCGACATCTCCTGGCAGGCATCCTTCACGGCTCATTGCAGAGGACTCTGTCAGAATCTCCGAACGATTGACGATCTCTAGAACCATGATGCAAGCGCTGCATGTTTGCCGAGATCGCAGACAATGCGATTCTGAGAGTTTTCTGAGTGAAAAACTGCCGACGGATCCGACAGGATGCTTATTTCTTGACAGCGTTGCAGCGCAGACCTCAGACTGGGAAAAGTTTGCGTGGCCATACATTTGACAAAGCCCTTTGGATTGTCCCTGGGTTGGTCCTTCCTCTTAATAGTCTCAAAACATCTCAAAACATTACTTTGATATTCCTTAATATAATGTACTCGTACTCCTGTGCCCAAGCAGATTTGATGTGTCAAGAGTGACTTTCTAAACTCTCTAAACTTATCGGTGATTTTTTTCCCAATCGCCGTTGCCAATGCGCGAGGGTTGCTTTTTACGGGCGGGGGCGACTCAACGCGGCCACCTAGTACTCTTGTACTGTAGGTAATAGTACTGTTCACGACATTGCATTACCGACTTGCCACGCAATCCAAATTTGTATATTTTGCATTATTTTGCCAGGTCAGCTGTTGCGTTCGTCAAGGATGCTGGTCCGAAGGCTGCTTGATACTAGGATTGATGTCAAGTACACACTAGACTAAGCATCACTAAGCATCACTAAGCATTACTAAGCATCACTAAGCATCACTAAGCATCACTAAGCATCAAGTCCAACTACAGCGTGAGCAACTCCTTTTTCAAGTGACATCCCACCTGCTGAGCCATATACTGAATACTGAAGCACCTGAACTGAAACACGGCTCTTGCTAGGGATGCTTTGCCTCAGATCCACGTGCAATCTTAAACCTCCAACCAGAAAGATCATACTCCCTGTACGGTTCCAAGATGTTCCAAGTGACTTGACCCGACTTGTGGTCCATCATGAATCATCATGACATTTTCTCGAGATGTGTTATTCGGACTGGTTTGTGCTGCTGCCTGTTGGTATATGATTGTATATGTTGGTATGTCGATTCATATGAAGACCTCGAAAAGATTCAAAAAGATCAATTAATTACTCATAATTATGGTGTTATATAATATCTCTTAATTATGTGCAAGCTCTTTATGTGGTTCTTGTCATGGTCTATGTTCCTGAGTTGTCTAGAGCTTGTGGGAGCTTCTACGGTTTCGATTAGCCAGCTGTTCTTGGGAGAACCTATATAAGTTCGTGCTGTCAGGTTTTGGATGTCTCGGAGGAAGAGTTCAAGCAGCTTTGTGCTGAGTATCAACCTCAGACCTCAGAGAACGGATAGCCGTTGCTCTGCAGTTTCTTTCGCATGCTTAGACCAGTAAAAGACATGAACGACATGAGAGCATTCGCACCTGTCCTGAGGCTACATGTTTATGATGTGTATGATGTTTATGCCATGTTTTTGCCATCGCATAGATTCTCATAGGTCAATTGCAGCAAAGGGATATGCAGCCAATGGCACCAAGCCCGCAGAAGCAGTCACCGCAGCAGAGAAGGCAGGAGTTGGATATGGTCCTGGAACGTCGAGAGGTTAGGAATAGACTGAAATAGATTGTAAATGACGGAAGTAGATTGTTTGATCTGTGGAAATTGTATGAGACCCTGCAACAGTGCAGGCAGTTTGAGCCTTCGAGTTTGTCGATTTTTGAGTCTGCACAGTCAGTCAGCTGTGCCTTGAGGGGCTCGAGCTCAGTGCAGATGTCAGAAAGGTCTTGGCTGAGCGAGACTTTGCTGCACTGGGTCAGTTTCGATTGCATCGTTTGTCTTGGCGCCACGGTTGACAGAGCGATGACTAGCAGTTGCAAAGGATATAAAGCATGCAAGAGACTCCCTCTAAAGCAATCCATCCCGAAACTTTCTGTCGAAATCACAGATGGCTCTTCAAGATAAGAAGATATTCTTATATGAGAGTGAAAGGAGTACCAACCCGTGTCGCTTGTGAGGCATTTCTACGCTGCGCTTGCAATTTGAGGCGACGCAAGCAAGACTCAGAACATTAAACCATACTGTAATTGTTTCATATTATTTGTATAATTTTGTATGTAGTGCTTGGAGTTCAATAACGACTACCTGTCACGTGTCACTTGTCAAACGCATCTCTTCTGCAAGGGCATCCAGTCTGTGCGACACCTCCGAGTGGGAGATTTGCCCCAGTTGCTTGAAGAATATCGAGCAGCTGCCCTAGAGAGGAATTAAGGTGTGAAATTGAAAGTTGAGGTTCTTTGTATAATCGTCCTTTGGGTGCATTGATACTCATCGATCTCTCAGGAAATGGCATCTATCCTCAAGAAAATTCAAATTGATACATTGACGGACGATGGATAAGAAAATAGTATCAATAATCAATATTTTGAATATATATAATATATTATAATATTATGTTAGCCAAACCACAACTTATTCTATTTTGTTCAAACCTTAAAAAACAAGGTGGGCCAGAGAACCCAAAAGCAAGACGGCACACAGCACGCCTTTTCTTGAAAATCTTGGGGTGTGGGCAGCTGTGCTCTGCACGAAATCGACGTAAGATCTTTACTTAAACATCGTGCGCACTGATGGATCAGGGGCCACGATTCACCACAGCATGCTGTGTCAGCTACGCCTACAGTCTTCTAGTCGCTATTTCTGTTAATGTAATTAACTCTATCCCATCTGTCTAGTCGCTATCTATTTCTGCGTTCTCGTTTAGTTTGCTTCGCCGCAGAGGGAGCGAGCACGAAGCGTGGACGGACAGAACGAAATGAAAATTAAACGACAGAGGGAGCTGACCAAAAGAGCATGAAAACGAAGATATATATGAAGGTGACAGATGGCAAATGATCATGAAAAATGAGACATGATAAAAGATGGGTAAAGACTTCTCTGTACAAAAGCTTCTTTGCATAAAAGCTTCTGCAAGTAAAAGCTTCTGTGGGCAAGAACTTCTCTGTGTAAAGGTTTTTGGTGTAAAAGCTCTTGTGTGTAAAATCTTCTGTGTAAAACGCGCTCTGTGTGTAAAAGTTTCTGTTTGCGAAAGTTTCTTTGCGTACCAGCTTCTGTCTGTAAAAGCTCCTCTGTGTTAAGGTTTTGTTTGTGTAAAGCTTCTGTGTGCAAAAGCTTCTCTGTGTAAAAGACTTCTCTGTGTCAAAGCCTCTGAGTGTACAAGCTTCTCTGTGTAAAAGTTCCTCTGTGTAAAAGCTCCTCTGTGAAAAAGCCGCTCTGTGTAAAAGGCTTCTGTGTGTAAAAGCCTCTGTGTGTGCAAGCTTCTCTGTGTCAAGACTTCTTTGTGTAAAGATTTCTCTGTGTAAAAACTACTCTGTGTAAACGCTTCCGTGTAAACTCTTTCCTGTGTAAACGCCTCCGTGTGTAAAGACTTCTCTGTGTAAACCCGTCTGTGTGTAAAAGCTCCTTTGTTTAAAGGTTTTTTTGTGTTAAAAGCTTCTGTGTGTAAAACCTTCTGTGTGTAAAAGTTTCTGTGTGTAAAAGCTTCTGTGTGTAAAGGTTTCTGTGTGTAAAAGCTTCTGTGTATTAAAAAAACCTTATGTAAAAGCTTCTGTGTAAAAAAGCCCCCTGTGTGTACAAGCTTCGCTGCGTAAAAGCTGCTCTGTGTAAAAAATCTGTGCGCCGTAAAGTTGTCTGTTTGTAAAACCTCCTGTGTGTGTGTGAAAGCGTCTGTGTGTACAAGATTCTGTGTGCAAAAGCTCCTCTGTGCAAAGACTTCTCTGTGTAAACGCGTCTGTGCGTAAAGGCTTCTCTGTGTAAAGGCTTCTCTGTGTAAATGCGTCTGTGCGTAAAAGCTCCTCTGTGTAAGACTTCTCGGTGTACAAAGCTTCTGTGTGTGAAAGTTTCTGTGTGTAAAAGCTTTCCTGTGTAAAAGTTTTCTTGTGCAAAAGCTCCTGTGAGAAAAACTTCTCTGTGTAAAGGCTTTTTTGTGTAAAAGCTTCTGTGTGTACAAGCTGCTCTGTGTTAAAGTTTCTGTGCGCCGAAAGAATGTCTATCTGTAACACCTTCTGTGTGTAAATCTCGTTTGTGTAAGGACTTCTCTCGTAAAAGCTCCTCTGTGTCAAGACTTCTTTGTACAAAAGGCTTCTCTCTGTAAAAGCCTTTGTGTGTACAGGCTTCTCTGTCTCAAGACTTCTCTGTGTAAAGACTTCTGTGTGTAAAAGCTACTCTGTGCAAAAAAGCTTCTGTGCGTAAAGGCTTCTGTGTCAAGACTCCTCTGTGTCTGTGTAAACGCGTCTGTGTGTCAAAGTTTCTGTGTAAAGGCTTTTTTTGTGTAAAAGCTTCTCTGTGCATGTCCCATTTTTCAGCCTTTGCAAACCGTTTGACCGGTCTTGGGACCATTTGACCAGTCTTGGGTCCACAATTTTTTCAGGCCAATCGCAATGATGGCATTTGTCCTGAAAAAACCCGTGCCAACAGTTCTGCCGCAAACTATTTTCAAGGTTTCCTATCCGTCCAGCATGCTGTCTCGCTCCCATCCAGCGCACTTTCCCCAAGCTATTTTCCACGGTTTTGTCCCGTCCAGCATGCTGTCCCGCTCCCTCCCCGCGCAGTTTCCCGAAGCTATTTCCACGGTTTTGTCCCGTCCAGCATCCGGTCTCGCTCCCTCCCAGCGAAGTTTCCCCAAGCTATTTTCCACGGTTTTGTCCCGTCCAGCATGCTGTCTCGCTCCCTCCCAGCGAAGTTTCCCCAAGCTATTTCCACGGCTTCATCCCGTCCAGCATCCAGTCTCGCTCCTTCCCAGCGAAGTTTCCCCAAGCTATTTCCACGGCTTCATCCCGTCCAGCATCCGGTCTCGCTCCCTCCCAGCGAAGTTTCCCCAAGCTATTTCCACGGCTTCATCCCGTCGAGCATCCGGTCTCGCTCCCTCCCAGCGAAGTTTCCCCAAGCTATTTCCACGGCTTCATCCCGTCCAGCATCCGGTCTCGCTCCCTCCCAGCGAAGTTTCCCCAAGCTATTTCCACGGCTTCATCCCGTCCAGCATCCGGTCTCGCTCCCTCCCAGCGAAGTTTTCCCCAAGCTATTTCCACGGCTTCATCCCGTCCAGCATCCGGTCTCGCTCCCTCCCAGCGAAGTTTCCCCAAGCTATTTCCACGGCTTCATCCCGTCCAGCATCCGGTCTCGCTCCCTCCCAGCGAAGTTTCCCCAAGCTATTTCCACGACTTCATCCCGTCCAGCATCCGGTCTCGCTCCCTCCCAGCGAAGTTTCCCCACGCTATTTCCCCAAGCTATTTCCACGGCTTCATCCCGTCCAGCATCCGGTCTCGCTCCCTCCCAGCGAAGTTTCCCCAAGCTATTTCCACGGCTTCATCCCGTCGAGCATCCGGTCTCGCTCCCTCCCCGCGA